CTCTCATCTCCTCGGGCACCTTTTTCATTATATGTCATAGACATCACTGATGCCTTGTATTTGGGAACACTATTTGAATGGCGTTCTGCATTGCCCTATCTTGATCGGTAATAATTCCACTCGCAGGACAACCACCCATACACTCAAGCCACTTCGAAAACAACCACACAAATGTGGTGGTGTCCTCACTTGAAATTAAGCCACATCCGAACAAGATAGACTGACCATGGTGGTTACTCCAACAAAAGGTGCAAAGGACATGTCATACCTATTGGTGAGATAAGTTGTATCGAAAGTAATCACATCTCCAAAATCTCTATATGCATACTGGCACCGCTTGTCTGCCTAAAACACATTGCGAAGGCGAGATTCTTCATTTACATCAACAGTAAAGAAAAAACTGGGGCACTCCGCTTGCATTTTGCAAAAGATACTTTGAATTGCAATGGCATCACCATTTCCTAAACGCAAACGGCGAACCTTGTCAATACAGTTCCTACAATCCTTTTCAATGAATGGTAATTGATAATACCCGCTTCTACTACGGCAGAGGTGAAACTTTTGTGAAGAGGTATTCCGGCAATAACATTTATTTCAAGTCTTCTCCTCATATTCATAGTCAATCTCCGATTACATCGAAAAGCTCTAGTTTTGGTAGGACTCATGGGCTGGTTATGCTCTTCATTCACTTTCGAAATTACCCGTGACCCAACATAGTCATACATCACTTTGATTCGGGCTTTGCAACCTATTGCACTTGAAGGTCCAGGCAACAAAGAATTCATGGACTTTGAAACTCTGTTTCTAGCACTGCCACACTCAATTAACCTTCCTGATAAATTTCCTTGTTTGTCTTTCGTTGAGCTCCTAATTCTAATGGGAAAACCTTTAGTTTTGCGTAATTCTTATAGTGATCATAGGCTTCATCTTTTCCCGGAAACAACATCCCAACTTCTACATGGACGTCTGGTGTACCACCATCTACATTTGTGTTATCTGGTTCTGGGTGAAGACATATATAACAAATAATGATTACTAATATAAACGTCTCTGGACAGGCAATTACTTCATTTCGTCAGTGTACACAAGCAATAACAATACAAACATGTACTTCATTTGGTCTCTGTACATAGGCAATAACATACAATCATTTACATGATTTCTTCGGTGTACACAAGCAATATAAAAACAAACATTTACTTCATTTGGTCTCTGTACACAGGCAATACTAATACACACATTTACTTGATTTCATCGGTATACACAGGCAATAAAAATACAAACATTTACTACATGGAAAATACAACACACCAAATACAATACTTTTACTTCAAAATGATAGAGTAACACAAATGGATGTTAAACTATACAAATACAATGTTATTCACTTCTATAGGCGCTGAAACATCGAAATGCCTGTGTACACAGACATTACGTTCCACGTGTCTCCTTCATGATCAGCGTCCGGAATATGCCTTTCCTCTCCGTCGGCGACGTCTTTCGTACTAGGTTGAGCTTCATCTTGTGTCGCCGGTGCTTCAAACCCGGACTCCTCTCCTTGGGGTGCCATAAACTCGCCTATGTCGTAACTAGTAATGAAGGCCATCCCCACAACACTGTAATCCATTCAGGTGATAGCTTCATACCGGGCTCCTGTTCCTCTGTCGTAGTCCTCCGTCGAGATACGAAGAGAACAAGATGAAGAAAAAGCTTCAGTGAACAATGCTCCTTTGAGTGCAAAAATATGTAACGAGAAGGGGGTAGAGCGAGGGAAAGAAAAAGAGGAGAAAATAGTTCTTTAGCTGGGGTAAATGGGATGGTAATTTTTTTACGTTTTTATATGATGTACAAGTTGTGTACATCTTGTGTACCCTAAGCAAAATTGATTTAATTATACTAACAAGTAACTAGGAGTGAGCATATCAGTTTGATTTAACCAAATCAAACCGTACCAAATTGAACGATGTGGAATTTGGTTTGAGTATGAAACCAAATCGGAATCGAAAAAATTCAAATAAAACCAAACAGAATTAAAGAAATTCAATAAAACCTCAATGTGTTAGCAAACAAACTCAAACCGAACCAAACGAACTGAACCGAACCGAAAAATAATACTCCCTTTGTCCCATTGGAGTTTGCCAACTTTTCCTTTTTGGTAGTCCAAAAAAACTTTACCACTTTCCCATTAAAGTAATTATTTTGTGGTTCTGCTCATTTCTCTCTTCTCTTCATAAAATTCACTCGCACGATGTTTATTATTCTTATTCTTCACCTAATTCAAAGAGTGCAAAGTCCATTGGGACGGAGGTAGTATAGTTTTGTTTTGTATTACTTATTCTTCTAATTCAATTCAAATTTAACCAAACTGAACCCAATAACAACCAAATCGAAAAATAAGTTGCTCCATTTGGTATGAACGAGTAATTAGACTGGGTAAAACTTTTGACAGACGGTTCTTGATTCACCAATCACCACCCTTCACGCAATCTCGTGTGTGATCTGCATATCCTCAATTCTGCATTTCCTTCTTTCACATCTCACTCACCTACATTGGTTTGGTCTTCAATAGTTGTGGGGGATACGAGCTCTTCAATAGTTGTTCTCGTCAGATCTTTCCCAAAACTTGAGCATTTATTAGCATTGCCTGACGGCACCAAGATCTGGCGTGTTGGCGTGCTTGTTCATAGTCCCTCTTTCTCTGAATTTCTTGTTCGTACAAAAAATTTGGAGGAGTAACAAAAAATTTCCCAAAAAATTTCTTGTTCTCGTCAGATCTTTCCCAAAAAATTTCATAGTCCCTCCTAATTAAACTCTCCATCACATAATACTTACTATCTTATCGTACAAAATAGTTTTGAGTTTAATTAATTTAAAAGTAACATTGTTTAATAACTTAATTTGTAATTGTACATATATTATAATGTTTTTTAATGTACCTTACATTTATTTTGTATTTAAAAAGTATTTTGATAATGCTTAATTTCACATTGCACATGCAGTCACTAATTACCAAAAAAATTAACATACATTATTTTTGTTTAGTAACAACTAGTCGTCTGACTTTTAAATAAGACCCTTTGTTGTGTTCATGTTGTTGTCTAATAATGTTAGAATAATAAAATAGTAAAATGGTACTGTAACAACATGTTTATCAAAAACTCCAAAAGTATTACTACGTAATATTTACTACATAATATATAAAATACTTTGTTGTTACTATTTAACGTTAGGTAGATTTAAATGACTTTTAAAATTAAACATTTATGTAATCATCACCAAAATCACCCGATACAATAAGGTGGTCAACAGTATGACCATAGAGATGGCAAAGCGTAACCTCAAGGGCATATGGAATTTCACCAATGAGGTTCTGGAAATGTACATGGATCCAGAGTTCAGATATGCATGCCATCTTCACTCTGGAAGAGCATGCAGGCGAAGGTGATTGTGGCAGTTCCAAGTAACAATGAGATGGATGCCTCAAAGTTGAAAACAGAGTTCCAGGAATTGCTTCCAATCAAGGAATCACTGATCAAGTATGTCTTTGAACCCAACAAGAAAACATTTGCATAATAATATTCTTTCAAGATATGTTTCTTTTTTATCTATGTGCAATTATCTTCCAGTATTTAATAACTGGGCCTCACACGGTCCCTCTTTTAGAATATTCATAGTGATTTCTTGGGAGTTCATAATAGTCCAGTAAGAGGAGCATCCATGTAGTACGCCATATTACACCCACCATGTGAGATTGTAATTCTTTGAATCTATTGCACTATCATATTTATACGTAGTATATTTTAAAATATGTACTACTCCTTCGTCTCAAATTGATGGTACTGTACTTTTTGGGCTCAAATATTAAGAAAAAGTGGTAGGAGGACCCATATAACCTTACTTTATTGTACCGTTCACTCCTTTACTTTTACTATTCATTAAAAAGGAGAGGTATAAATGATAGTATACTTTAATTTCTTTACCAAAAAGAGAAAGGTGACTATCATTATGGAACACCCCGAATAGGAAATACAGGACCATCACTTTGGGAGGGAGGTAGTATGTTTTTTGCTGTGATGGGGCCTTGAGTACTGCTTACTTGTGAAGTTGTGAGATGCATGATTATGTGCCATCAATCATCGAGTTATGCTAGAGGTACAAAAACTTTTACAAAAAAGTCTTACAAAAGGGGTATGTGGCATCATCACAATATTTAACACATCACATCACATTCACAACACTTTTACATCAATGGTAATAAGAATAGTCAAATCACTTATTTGTAAGTTTTTTTGTAAGTGTGTTTGTACTTCTAACATTTTGCTCAATCATCATACATTCTCAGTATATACTCCCTCCGTCCCATTGGACAATGCCAACTTTCCTTTTTTCGTTGTCCCAAAACCTTGTCACTTTCCTATTAAAACAACTAATTTGTGATTCTACACATTTCTCTCTCCTCAGCACAAATCTCAACCACAAAGTTTTTATTATTCTTATTTCTTACCTATTTTGCACTTGGCAAAGTCCACCGGGATATTTTTTGACTCAAGGTTTAGTTTTGGCTGATTCATTTTTTGTTTTTGTACTTGTGTAAATATATATTGGGTTAGGTAATTTGGGTTAACTTTCATGGTTTAACATACTATTTTCTTGGTGTTAGTTTTGTGGTCATGTGAATTGAGACCGCATCAAGGGCCAAGTGTGATGACAGCTTGAATGAACATATTATCGAGTTCTCTCTTATCAATGGTTTTATTGCACAAATCCTCTAACTGTGGGCATTTCATTTGATTCACTAACTCAATCGAAACCAAATCATATACGATTCTAATTTAATTTGGTAATCTTGGATTATTTTCTACTCCATCCGTTTCAAATTGATGGTCCTATACCTTTTGGACTCAAATATTAAGAAATAGTAGAATGATCCATACATCTTTATTTTATCGTAATGTTCACTCCTTTACTTTTACTATTCACACAAAAAGAAGGGGTATAAATGGCCGTCCACTTTAATTTCTTTGCCAAAAGAGGAAGCATGATTATAACTTTGGGACAACCCAAATAGGAAATACAAGACCATCATTTTAGGACGGAGGTAGCATTAACTATAATAAATCGACCAAACCCGAACTGAATCAAAGCGACTTAAATTATTAGTCAGAGCTTTGATATTATTTTAATAAAATAACAAATTCAAAACTAACCTAATCAAAACATAATTTGATTTCAATTTGCCCTTAGTTCTCCCAGGCTGTTCCAAATCGAACTGAAAACCTTAACGCCCATCTGGTCAATCTACGAGTTGGGAGTCCACAAGCGATGGGCTGACAAAGATTGTTGGAGCCTAATGGTTGTAGCTTGATGCCGATTGAGCTCTGCTTAAAAAGATTTGAGACCCCTAACTTCAAATTTGCTCCATATCCGGATTACAGATCTGTTTAGACAGATCTTCTTATACGTAGTAGGGGCCCACATCTGTTTAAAAAGATTTGAGACCCCTAACGTCAAAGCTAGGAAGTATCCGTTCACAACCTGGGTAAAGTAGTTCATCACATTTGTGGCAGACACGCATAGTACAAACAAGAATAGAAGCCAGGGCTTCACAAAATAGACAGAGTAGCATATGGAAGATACCCTCATCCAAAGCCATATTAATTCATACGGAGTAACATATAACCTGATACACGATTTGACTTTTGGAACATCCATAATATACAGAGCATGTGTGGTAAAGTAACTTCCACCACCTAATCACATTCCGATGATTCAAAAAAGAATATTGCGCAAGTGTCACATTAAACAGACATGTATAGTGGCCTACTACAATATTTGATCTCTGGCCCCGTAAAACTTGGAGTAGCAAAACCCTTCATACAAGATTACATACAAGGATTAAAGGTAGTTTGAGGTTCACTGCCTAATAGTAACAAAAATACACTAAAGAATGAACAAATAAGACAATGGAACAGGGGGTCATACCCATTGAGTTGTTATTGTCTTATCAACACCACAAAGACAATGAGAGTAAGACATGTATATGTCATGGATGATCTTACTTTCAATGCATTACTCTTCGGAAGTAGTTTTGGTATTGAGCACTCTTCACCGTTAAAGTAAACCTTGGTTGGGAAACCATCACCAGCAGCAATTCTGATGCCAGGGGTATTCTTCTTGCTGAATGAGATCACAGACTGTTGTTTACCCGGAACTCTGGGATCCTTCAGTGGCTTAGCTCCGTCCGTCTCTCCCACCAGAAAGTTCTGTCCAGTAAGCCCTTGCATGAATATCGTATTGTTGACACCACTCATTATACTACCATTAAATGAGTAGACTGCCTTGAAATCAGATGCAGTTTTATCCAACTCCACTGCAGCAAACCAATCAGCAAATGGAGACTCATCCCAGTTGAAGAGTGTCATCCTTGCCGACCATCCGCCCCTGTAGTCTGTGAACAAATGCCAGTTGATACTAACGCCGCAGTTATCTGCACATGGCAAAGGGTTTGGGACAGAGAAATGATTAAGCGAAGCCCATGCTAAGGCCATTTTAGTCCTGTTTTCAGCAGGAACCAACAGAGACTGGGCTGGAAGGAGAAGAGCTGGGGATTTGGTACTACAAGTTCTTGGTGTGTTGGCAGGGCAGCCACAGGCACATGTCGAACAGGGAATGACAGATTCATTGTAGTATGCGGAGAAGGAGACGCAGCATCTCGGGCTTGCTCCCTTTGGTTGGGTGATGTTGCAAACCACTTGCCAGCTGGCAAATGCCGCTTTGTTAGGAAGCAGACCGCTCGGGTCAGGAAATTCGCTGGGAGAGACGCGAACTGGGGGCCCACATTTGTAATCCGGATTCAGCCGACCGCTGATCTTCCAGTTTTGTGGAGGGGTGAAGGAGGAACGGTTCAGATCTGGCGGCATCTTGAACACATTCATCAGGAACGCAGACATGGATTTGCTAGGGTCCATTGCAGGAGGCAAGATTGTGCCGTTCCTGCAACAAAAAGGAATCTTCCCCAGGGTAGTGTCATTGGCCTTCTCTAGAGGTAGGTCAATGATGGTCGGCCTCCTGTCACAGTTCAATACAGTGGAGAAGTCGAGGTCTTTGTAATACTCACCCTGCTTGCCAAAGATGCACTCGGATGAATCTACAAGTGACGGGTAAGCCCCTTGCATGATATATATGAACTCATCTCTCATCCAATCCCAGCTCAGCTGCCAGTTGTCAAGACGGCCAAGTGGGTTGTGGTTTGCAATGGAAACCTGTGCCCAATAATTTGATTCATAGGTTCTTGTGATATCATACGTGATAGTAAGATCACCATCCCGGCGTGGTAAAAATTCCCCATCTCTGGTCAGATTAGCCTTGAATTTCGGGTCTTTTGCACAACACACAAGCATAGTGCTGTTTCCTGAAAGACACAAACTTTAATCAAAACATAATCTTTTCTTAACAATAATAATAATGCATATTCGGTATTCACATCATAACAGCAACAGAAAATAATGGATTTTTAAATAGCATAATAGTCTATGCTAGTTCCATCAAATTTACCCCTTTAGATGATTCATTGATGCAGAAGTTTATTATACACACACCTATCTGACAAAAAAAAAGAATTTAATGTGGGATTCAAAATTTCAATCTTTTCTCATAATTTTGCACTTAAACGAGAAAGATATCAGGTTTGGAGTCTTTGGACTATATGTCTATTGCAAGATCATGTGGTAACAAATATAAGCCATCATTCATTTGATCATCACCCTTTAACTAAGGACACATGTTTGTCTCTTGAATAACTTGACCAAAATTTCCCAACAGAGCTAACTTTGGTTTCGTGTTATACTCCGTGTATTCCACAGGGAATTACAGATCACTGACCGCATCAGTCTATCACTATCAGCAAGTAAGTTACCAGGAAAGAAAAAAGAAGTAACAAAGCACAAACCTCGGGTAGAGGGTTTAGGACAAAGGAAGCCATCATTCACGAGAGAGATATTGGACGGCATGGGAGCATTCATTAAACCTACTCCGAACTGAGTACCAACTAAGTCGACCTGGGCACTCGTCTGAGTCAAATCACCGGCGGTCTCGATTGCAGTCTTCAGATCCGAATTCGGGAACCCAGCAAAAACAGTTCCGTTGCCCACGGCCGCCGGTAACGACGTTCCGTCGTCGAGGACGGCGTTGGAAGCAGAGACGAGGAACTCATCGTGCTGAAACCCGACGAAGACACGCCAGGACTTGACCTCGTCAAGGCCGTTGTTGGTGATGCTAAGAGTGGACTCAAATCGGTAGGGTTGGCGGGTCTTGACTGTAGGCTTGAGAATGGTGCCTGAAGTGTACACGTACTGCAAGAAGATGCCGTTACAGTCGTCGGCCGGAGAGGAAGATGTAGATTTCTGAGTGCGGGCGCAGTATATCTCAAAGCTGAGAAGGAGAAGGAGAAGGCAGAGAGACAGGGATGCCATTTTCTGTTTGAATCTGTTTTGACGAAATCAGTTCAAAAATGAGAGAAATATTTGTAATTGAAAATTATACTCCGCAGCAAATTGTTTCTTACAACAGCATGAGAGCGTTGTCGTAAAGTGTGAAAGGAAAATGCGGCAGAATGAGGGCGAGACACGAAGAACAAGCTCGTTCAAAATAAGCTTTGGCGACAGCTTAGTGGAAGCTGTAAATCTGTAATCGCGTTCTCATACAAACTCAGAAAAATAATTTAAATATCTTATACAAACCGGATCAGGAAGAGATCGGGCAAACTGACCCGATAGATCAACCCGGTCAACTCGAGAAAATCGGTCAATGTTTATTCAAAAATAAAAACATACTTCCTCCGTCTCGAATTGAATTGCAAGTTTTGACCGGCACAAGGAATAAAGATTGATAATAAATGATGCTTGTTTTTTATACTTTTCTCCATCTTTCAAAAAGTACGTAGATGCTTTTAAGTTAATAAGGAAAAAGTAAAAGTAAGGGTACATTTGTCACTTTATTCTTATTTACATACATAAAATAGAAAGTGGAAAACCATTTTGGGACAACCAAAATAGGAAATTTTGCGAATTAAATTGGGACGGAGGGAGTAAAATATACGGAGTATTAAATTATTACATTAAGTTTGTATGGTCAAGTATCACTCCCATTCAAAATTTAATGTGCCAAAATGTAAAGTTTTCACAAAATTCAAATTGCATTTAGAATTAAATGGACCTTTGGATGAACATAATATTTATACAGCAAATTACACAGTAAAGTAAATAAGATTAATGTATGTTATGAATCTTTCATAAATAACAATATAAATAGTTATGGGAAAGGGGGCAAAACCACCACTGAAGTAGTCACCAAAGAGGACATCTATGCCCTTAAACTTCTCTTTTGTGCAAAAATCTTTAAAATCTATCATAAGATGGAAATCACTCCCCTTGTTTTCAACGGAGTTAGCAAGTGTTAACATGGCTGCTTTGACACGTAATATATTTTAATTGTATTTATTAACTAATTTTGTAACTCAGTTGAAATATATAAAATAAAAATAAAGAAATTACATATACAAGTACTATTAAGATATATGGTTTCATGGTAAAAGATCAACCAGATAGGAGAAGTAATTCAGATCTTAATTTATCACTTTATTACTTCACAATTTTTTGGTGTGAGACTTCAACAAGTACCCAATAAAAAACGATAATGTAATGAAATAATGGTTATACAAAAAAGTTACGAAACAATTCCATTAATATTACTTTTAAAAATATGGTGGACAAAATTATTACTTACAGTCTATTTGGTAACACTGAAATCGGTTGACTCGGCTAAAATTTATGTAGATCTAGCTAAAGTGGTTGTATTCGATGATTCTGCTGATTTATGAATATGTTATATTTAAAATATATTTAGAATTTTACATGAATATTACTAAATTAATTTCAAATTAAAAATTACTGTTTTAGCCTTTTCCATAAATATTACTCCCTCCGTCCCGGTCATTTGTTCCAACTTTCCTTTTTGGACCGTCCCAAATAATTCTTCCAACTTCTACTTTTGGAAAAAATATGTGATTCACATTCATTCACATTTTTCTTACACAACTACAATCATATATTTCTACTTTATTCCACTATCTAAATTTGCGAGCCAAGTCAATTTAGGAAGAAATGACCGGGACAGAGGGAGTACTAAATTAAATTGAAATTACATAAACGTGACTTCTTTAAATTTTCCAAAAAGTGACATATTCAGTGACTAGTTCATAGTGACTCGTCATCTACCATGACTTGTCACCCTGAAATACACTATAGTGACTATTGTTTTGTTACTCGTACACAGTGACTGATTGTATTTTTGTCCAAAATACGACTAGTCATATTCTTATTCGGGAAAACTCTGTTAGTAATGTACATGTGATTTATTCTTATATTTTGATATTAATATTTAAAAATATGAATAGACTATATTCTGTGTTGCATAATTTGTACCTTATTTACCACACAAAGCCTGTTTGGTAATATATGGTTCCGACTTATTAGTCATTTTTTGTCAAACTATTTCAAAGCAGCTATTTTAGTATATTTTAGATGAATTGTTTAATGATCAAAATAAGTGAGCATGAAGTTTCTTTTCTGGTAAAATTGACTCAAATTTTTTAAAGCCGGTTGTTGAGGTTTAGTCCCGCAGATCCGAAAGCCCAACACGAACTTTGGATGTATCAGGAAAATGAATGGGTCAAGAATCACTTGTAAAGAGAAAATATAAAATATGGATAATCCAATACTCAAAAGCCCACTTATATGAATTGATTTGGTGATTACACAGTAAACTTCCCGAACGGTACGTCGGAATAGTGACTAATACAAGAAATCAGAGAGATAAATCTGTTCTAGGCTTTGAATATCAAGAAGCTAACCCTTTACAATGAAATTAATCCTTCTATTTATACTAATGGGGGTATGTGGTGCTTCATGTTGATTGGTTGCTTTATCTAGCCACTTGGAAACTCATGCTTCAACTTGATGCCGCCATACTTTAGCAATAAATGCCCCCTGCCACTTGTTGGCTACCCATTGTTCGAACGGGTAGTGGACTCTGTTGGATTTATCATTGACCTGGCCCAAGTACATTGGTTGACCCGAACCCCGTTCGGTACATATTTCTCCATGAGCCTGTTCATCTTCTGGATTCTGGGCCTGTTTATTGGACTGGATATATTGGGCCTTGGATCCGGGTTTTGGGCCTGTGGCCCAATATCCCAACACCGGCTATTTTAGCTTTTTCATCTAACTTTTTCTTTATATTACTACATCCGCGCCTTCTCGATGTATCACCTTTCCAATGTATCAAAGTATAAGAAAAAATAGTTTGATAAAGTGAGAATAAAGCAAAAACAAGAATAATTTAGAACTACACAAACTGTACCAAATTTGGTATAATCTCAATGGGGCGGACCGAAAAGGAAAAATGAGACAATTTTAGCGGGGCAGAGGAAGTAATTTTTTTAATCGTTATTTCATTACTTGGTCTCTTTTTATGATTTACTTTTATTTCTAATCGTTTTATTTATATTTTATATATTCCAACTAATTTACAAAATTAGTTTAATAAGTAAAATTAAAATACACAATTGACCATTCAAAGGGAAACATCAACGGTTGCAAACCTTTTAAACGAGTTCACCCTTAAATAAAGGGGGTGTTTGCCCTCCTTTCATGATTTTTAAAGATTTTTACACAAAAGAAAAGTTTAAGGGTGTAGATGTCCTTTGGTGAAAATTCTAAGGGTGTGTTTGCCTCTTTTCCTAATAGTCATTATTACAATGGTAAGGCCTAGAAAAGATACAGTAGTAAATACTCCATCCGTATTTGACCGCCTGTTCCAATTACTCCATCCGTATTACTAGAAAAATTGACAATAATAATCTCAACTATTGCCCGTCCATCGTTATTAATCTCAACTATCAATTATTCTCGGGTGATCCCAATTATAGGGACTATAATTGCAAGTCAATTTTAAATACAAGTCAATTTTAAATGCAAACTATGCATAAGCTATAAATAATCCCATCTATAGTTTATCTTTTTTTTATTAATCCCAATTATCAACTCTCATTTTCTATAATCCCAACTATAGATTTAGATTTTTATTTTAATACAATTTTGGGATTATCAACTATGGTTGGGATTATTTAAAGCTTACACATACGTAGTTCGCATTTAAAATTAACATGTTATATCAGGTTGTAACCAGTTAGTGAATGTTTTTGGAAAATGACCCTATAGTTGGGATCACTCAGGATTAATCGCTAGTTGGAATTATTAATGACAGATCGACAATAGTTGAGATTATTATTTACAATTTTTCCATATTTATTTACTGTTGACTTAGTTTACCCGTTAGTGATCGGGTTGATTCACCGTGTCTCGGTTGACCATTGAGTCCTTGACCCAGTCATAAGTTATCTTAACAATATGATCATATATACAAAGTATGTTGTTTTTCATAAATATAAATTTATGACATTACAATATTAGTTGCGTTCTGATACAATTTTGAGTTATGACTGAAAAACAAATCTTTTTTTGAGTTGTGAACATAAAGGCCTTGTTTGGTAAATGGTTGTTAGCTATTGTTGTTAGCTGGTTGTGTCAGCTGTTTCGTAATAGCTGGTTGTGTTAGCTGTTTTGACCGACTGGTTATGTTAGCTGATTATAAATAACTGTTTGGTAAAATTGGCTGTTTCGAAATGGCTGATAGAGTGTAAATTGAACCAGCCAAATGAAGAAGTTGCTCCCCTTAGCTTCTTCCACCATCCATTTTTTCAGCTTTTCAAACTCAACAAGCTAATTTTAAAAGCCATTTATCAAACATTATTATTAGCTTCTTTGACTAATCAAACAGTTGAAATGGGTCAAACAAGCTAAAAGCTGGCTCATAAGCCATTTGCCAAACATACCCAAAATATGTTCACGAGGCTAAACTAGTTTTTTATTATCTAAAGTTCGGAATTTATGTACTTCACATACAAGATAAAGATACTTACATTACAACACCTTTAAAGTTGTGGTGTTTAAATTATTATTATTTTTAAAATTTGAATAAAAAATTGTTATTGAATACTGACTTTGCTTCCTTTTAGTTTGAGGATAACATGTTTTTGTATTGTTTCGATATATAAAATAAATAACGAAATGAAGAAAAAATGCCCTAAATAAGAGTTAAAACGTTTTGGAATTTCAAAATATGAGTGTTATGTTTTGTTTCTGAAAATAAAAGTCCTTACTGTCATGATTGAAAAATACTTGTCATGTTAATGTGTAGTGGTCAATTGTTCTGAGAGCAAACGACAGTAAATACTGCTATGTTACTCCTATTATGGGAAATTTCCCCATAATAACTCACAATCTCACATATTTACGTACCCCCTAATATATCATGTTTGAAATCATGAATGAGTAATTTTATTTATAGCCCCCCAAATTGCTATTCAAAACCCCTTAAATAAAATAACAATAACTTAAATATCTAAATTATCTTCATTAGAAATATGAAAAACCCAAGCTAGACACGAGAGGCTTGAAGATACCCGCACTGGTAGCTCAGTTGGTTCAGTGATGGGAAATTTGGAACAAGTGACCAAAGTTCGAAACACGCAGCGACCGTGTGGAGGTTACAGCTCCTGCGTGTTGGGCTGGACCTCTGATGCGCACGAGAATAAGGCCTGCCATCATTGGGCCGACTGAGTCACCGTGATTAACATCCTTCCAAAAATCCTGTCGGATCGGGATATGAGGGCTCTTGGGGTGGGAGATTCCACCTTTTTTGGAACAAGAGAGTCTTGAAGAAGAGAAATAGTGCGAAGCCCTGCTACCCCACTCATCTCACCCTTCAGTAGAATTAGTGAAACGTTTTCTCTTGGGTTGGGTTGTTTACAAGAGTCATAATGGATAGTGAGGTACCCATCCTTATATCCATCTTATACTCAACATGTTTGTGAAACTTTTTTTTGTTTGTGCAAAATATTGTGTGTAAATCGATGTTTACAGATAAAAAAAGCTTTCACAAACATGGGTGAGTACAAAAATGGATATAAGAGTGAGTACAAACATCATTTTTGATGTTAAGTAGTAGTACGCCTATAACCGTGTCCGGCGGTTGTCGAATATTGAGAGCGGTGCGCCTTCTATTCTAATATTCAAGCTATGAGCATATACATAAATACTTACTACCTCCGCCCCAAAATAATTAATGAAATCCCAAACTTTGACCAATAATATATATTTATTAGAATTATTTATAATATAAAAATAATGTGAAAATATTTTTAAGATTAACTTTCATAAAAGTATAAAATTTATAACTTTCATAAAATTAACTAATCAAGACCATGGTTCAAATTTTAAGATTTGGATAAACATTTTCGGACGAATGTAGTAGTATAATACTCCGTTTAAGCAAGCAAATCACATTGATAATGTACAATATGCTTATTTCATCGTCTTACAGGGTCCTAAATGAGTGAGAGAGAATCATGTCATTCTCCTTCAATACTTGTCTTCTTCAGAGTTCAGAGTTCAGAGTTGTGCTTGGGCTATTAATCCCATTATTCCTTTTTAGTAAGAATAATTTAGGTATTAGAATTATTTTTAAATTGGAAAACTGTTAAATAGGTCCTCGAACTTTCATAAAAAAAATCAATTAAGTCCTTCTATAAGAGACTCTGTCCGGTTGTCACGATTTGGGGCGGTTCTTGGTGGAATTTTTTGATGAATTTGTTTTAGCATCTTATTCATCAAGTCTAGTTTACTCATACCAAATTTCAGCTAAAAATTTAATCGGGAGCACATTCAAATTAATTCGAGAACGCAAAATGCAAAATTCGAGAACGCACAGTCTAATTTGACAGTTTTCCCTTTTTAAATATTTTTTTTATGAAGTGGATGTGAATTACAAAAAAGAATTACGCAATACGAATCTCAAACATAATTGTTGTACGTAGTACATTCTTCCGGACTTTTAGGCTGTCAGGCCCAGCTCGCCCATATTCGAGTCATTGAATCCCCAATTTCAAAGGCCGCCGATTTTTGTGATAATAGTAGGCCTAGCGCAAAATGGAATTTTATTAGTTTTTGCCCGTTAACCTGTTATAAGCCTCTGGTTCCGGAGTGTAGATGTTGCCCGACATATATCGGAAATAAGAAAGGAAATCGGAAGAGGAAACAAGGAACTCATCCCAGAGGAAAGTTTTCGACGAAAGAGGAGTCGAGTTCATCTCTTGTTCTAATTTCTTTCGCAATTATTCAGGCACGCTTGAAGCTTTGCCCGATTTGTTTTTGGAGGCCGAGAGTGGCGAGAAGCAGAGCAGTAAGCTTCTCAATCGTTCCTTCCTCTAATTTCTGAAGGCACTCAAGGCCTGTGGCAGAGGCAGGAGACCGACAGTTTAGCCTTTGGTAGCCAGACAACTGCATCAAAATTGTGCCCAATCTCACATTTTTGTTTGAACCTAATTTCTGTTTTTCATATCAGAGTCTGGGCCCTGTTTATGACGCCAAATTCCCCCCGTCAGTGTGCCTCTTATAGTTTGTATGTTTTGGATGTTGCAACCGTTGGTGCAGTCATGCAACCAGAAACTGTTTCTGTTCAGATAGCCTGGCCGTCTTCATTTTATGCCCTTTGCGGATAGTTTGCTACCCATAAACTTTTCTCTTTCACAAGTTGAAAAATTCATACCCAAGAAGTGGCGACAAAGAGTTAAAGTGTCAGACATTAAAAAGAATATTGAATCCCTTGTTTCTAGTTCTCATGAACCTGTAAGGACTCAGATACCCTATGATGAATCAATGGTGGATTGCTTACTATCGACTTTGAAGGATTTTGTAAGTGAAGGTCATTTATTGAAAGCTTTTAGAACTTTTGGTCTTATTCAGTTGAATGTACCCTCACAATCTCCATGTCACACAGTGCTACATTCCTTATCATCTCTCTTCCAATGTTGCACGGAACTTAAGTCATTTAGTGAGGGCAAACAGCTACATGCCTATGCTATTACTTCTGGTCTTGGACACCATGCCATGTTGGTTCCTAAAATAATCACCTTCCACACAACATTTGGTTTACTTCTTGATGCTCACAAAGTGACTGAAACATCAAATGTTTTGCATCCTTTGCCATGGAACCTTCTCATTTATTCCTATGTAAAAGTTAGGCAGTATGATGATGTTCTATCTGCTTATAAGCAAATGGTAAGTAAGGGAGTTTGGCCAGATAAATTCACCTATCCATCCGTTCTCAAGGCTTGTGGAGAACAGGCATATCTTTCTTTTGGAAGGGAGGTTCACAAGTCTATAGATGCTAATTCTCCGAAAAGAAACTTGTTTGTTGATAACGCTTTACTGTCAATGTATGCTAAGTGTGGGGAACTGGATATTGCTTGTCAGATCTTTGAACGAATTCCAGTTAAGGATGCTGTTTCTTGGAACGCGATGATTTCTGGATATGCCTCTAATGATATGTGGAGTAAAGCCTTTGATCTTTTCGAAAGAATGATTTCTAAAGGTATTGAGCTGAATAATATCACTTGGAATACCATAGCTAGCGGGTGCACAAAAACGGGCAACTTTGAAGGTGCTTTTGAGTTGCTCTCTCGGATGAGAAATTGTGGGTTTGTGTTGGATCCTGTGGCTGTTCTTATAGGTCTAGGAGCATGTTCTCAAACTGGTTTGATAAGGATCGGGAAAGAAATTCACTGTTTGGCCATTCGGAGTCATTTTGAGGATTTTGATAATGTAACAAATGCATTGATTACCATGTATGCTAGATGCAAAGATCTAAAACATGCATATATTCTATTTCAGTTGAAAGAGAGAAAAAGTATAGTTTCCTGGAACTCGATCATATCTGGATTTGCACATTGTGGTAGATACGAGGAAGCCTCATTCTTTTTTCGGGAAATGTTGTTTTGCGGATTTGAACCAAATTATGTGACAATAGCAAGCATACTTCCATTATGTGCTCGGGTTGCGAATCTCCAACATGGAAGAGAGTTTCACTGTTATCTCTGTAAGCATGAAGGGTTTCAGGAACAATTGATATTATGGAACTCTCTTCTGGATATGTATGCAAGATCAGGAAAAGTGTATCTAGCCAAAAATCTATTTAATTATATGAGCAAGAAAGATACAGTGACATACACTTCATTAATAGCTGGATATGGTGTCCAAGGAAATGGAAAAGAAGCGATTAGACTTTTCATGGACATGATTAGGTCCCACATAAAACCAGACCATGTCACCATGGTTTCCATATTATCAGCTTGTAGTCATTCTGGTCTTTTAGACCAGGGAGAGAAACTATTTGAACTGATGCAAAGCGTTTATGGCATAACTCCTCAACTGGAGCATGTTTCCTGTATGATTGATCTCTATGGAAGGTCAGGTTTACTAAAAAAGGCTCAACATATTATCATGAAGATGCCATTTGAGCCAACGGAGGAAATGTGGGCCACACTGATTGGGGCATGCAGAATCCACGGGAACACCGAGATTGGTGAGTGGGCAGCCGAGAAATTGCTGGAAATGAGGCCAGATAATTCTGGGTACTATGTTTTGATAGCAAACATGTACGCTGCTGCTGGTAGTTGGAACAAACTGGCTAAAGTAAGAACCTTAATGAGGGACTCAGGTGTGAGGAAAGATCCAGGCTGTGCTTGGATTGATATGAAGGCTGGTTTTTCCTCCTTCATGGTTGCAGACACCACAAACAGTCAAAGATTGGAAATTTATTCTCTGTTGGGAGGGCTGACTAGGCAAATAAAAGACGCTTCACACTCTTCTAATGAAGAGTCGACATCAGATGAAGAAGAAGCTTATGAGGCATTGGCTGCGTAGATCTTTGACGAGCCAGATCGTCTGAACTGACGGTTCACACTTTTCTTGTTGATTACTTGATTGTTTGTTGGAAATGTTTCTATTGAATACAGCTATCTAAATCTGAGATAATGATTTTGTGAATTTAAAATGAGTAATGATTACCATTTCATCATTCACACAAATCGATAAATTATTAGATGACTTATCGACTGTCTTGCTGGAGGATTAATATCACAAAACTGGAGACGAACCAGACTAGGCTCTTATATTTTCTTATTCAGAGACTTGAGCCAATTGTATGCTTCATCTTTCATTTTCATAGTGGTTTATGTCTGCAGTTTGGAAAGAAAAGCCACCCAGAATGTGCTAGGTTCTCCCTAGACGGGCAATTTCTTGTCTCCTGCTCTGTTGATTGATTTATCAAGGTATAATCTGCTTCTCAAACAGGTCAGGAACTCAGGATTTCTTGAGTTTCTAAATGAATTTTCTTCATTCTTATGTCTTTATTTGAATTTCAGGTATGGGACCACTTAAATGGAAAATTAAAGATGGATCATCAATATCAGGCTGATGTAAGTATAAACTTTTGTGTATTTTTTTTGGTTGATAAAACAAGTAGCTTTTCCGTTACTTGGGCTCCATAATTCAGAAGGACGGTGAGTTAGATGGAGATGTATCCCATAGAATCAAAACAAGGTGGATGAAGTGGAAGAGTGCGTCAGGATTTCTATGCGATCGAGGTATGCTGACTAGACTGAAGGGTGAATTTTATAGGACACCAATTAGGTCTGCATTACTGTATGGCGTAGAGTGTTGGGCGGTGAAACAATGTCACATTCAAAAGATGAGTGGATGTGTGGCATACTAGGAAGGACCACATGAGGAATGAGACAATCAGACAAAGGGTGGGAGTAGCACCTATTGAAGACAAGATGCGGGAGTCGTGCCTACGGCGGTTTGGTCATGTGCGTAGAAGATCGAGTGATGCACCTGTCAGGCGAGTTGAGATGTGTGGAGAAGAGGCAAGGAAGAGAGAGAGAGAGGAAAACCCAAACAAACATGGGTTAGGGATGTTTGAAGTGATATGCTTCTTCTGGGGTTGGATGAGGGTATGACTTTGGAGAGAGCTAAGTGGAGGACGGGTATTCGTGTGGAGGAGTGATCTCGTATCATCTTTTTCCCTCATCTTTTTTTTCCTTGTTTTTTATCCTTACATATATATAAGCATTATTTGTATCCTTTTTATTTTATCATTTTTATGTATATTCATCTCTTTTTATATTATCTTTTTATAATAGCTTATCTTTTTTATCTTTATTTTCTTTCTTTTCCTTTTGGTGGTGATATCTTTTGGAACTAAGGCTTGGATGTTGTTGTTGTTATTGTTGATAAAACAAGTAGCTTTTAACTGCTGCTATCATTGCTATCATGGTAGTGTAGTTTGATATTTTTCTTTTCTAGTTAACTGCTTTAATTTCATTGCCTTATTAGGGGTTTGTTCGACAACATTGTTTCCTACTCTAATTTTTAAAATTTTCTCCTGAAACTTGAAAGTGTTGGTGAATGCAGTTGTATATTAATGTTGTGTATGAGAATGTTTAATGAGCCATTTACTTTTAGGCAGAACTTAGTGAATTCCATTGCCTTATTAGGGTAGCTCTTATACATTCTTCTCCCGGAGAGCATACAAGAATCTGTTTCTTCTGTAAGTAGTAGTGGACTAGTGGTATATACTTTTAGGCATAACTTAATGAATTTCTTGCAATAATTTTAAAAGGTGGTCTACTAAACTATTTAGACCTTTGTTGCATCTTAGTGACGTTTCTAGTAAAGGTCTTGTCTTGGACCCTTCAGATGTGACATTGCCTATATGCCGGAAAGCTGACTATTTAATAAGGTAGTGTGTCAGAAGTACACATCAGAAGTACATGTAGTTAATGACTTCCTAGTTGTATGGTTTTGGTGAATTAGTTAGTAAGGCTTGGTTTTTGCCTTTTATGGAACACTAAGAGTGATATTCTAGTGAGTTTTGACTGTGATATGATGATTTAAAGAATAACTACTTTTGGTAGTAAACTATTTTTTTGTGTGAAAATTTTAGCAAATAAATGAGAATTAGTTTGTTTCAATATGTAATATGATCATTTCATATTTATTTTATTTTATTTTTATATATGACAGTTTTCCAGAAAAAATAGTTAGCTACCCGGTAATAAATATATTAATTAAATTAGTAAAGTTCTTTTAAAAAAAAAACGGCATGATAAAGTGTTGGGTGATGTGGAGTGCTCTTGTCCCACGCATTGTTTCAAATTGCGCAATGCAATAGCGCAATGAGGCGCGCCTCAGGTAATTTGTATAGCAAGGCGCAGAATTGCATGGCGAAAGGCGGAAGTGTAGAAATATGCGCTATATGGCGTAGTGGCGTACGATTTCTGCAATGCGCGATAAGGCGCTCTAAGGTGACCGCCTTGAAAGTTTAAGAGTTTAAGTAGATATATATGTGGAGCTAGTGGTAGGGCCCACTTTTATTTTTTTAGTTGGCCACCGAGCATGTAGGCTATTCCCGACCTGCGTTGCTAGTTGCTGCTTCACCCTTTGTCAATCTTCATACAGAAGATGGGAGAAGTTCCGTTGCTGCTTCATCATCTGCGCATCACAGGTTTGCAGAAGACCTGCGCATCAAGTTTCATCTGCTTCTCCTCTTATGTGTTTATTTCTTTGATAACAGAACACTTCATATTACAAAACTTATACGAAGTATAGTTTATTGAGTAGAACGAGGTTGCAGGATGGTGGTGGCATGGATAAGTGGATTTGAGATTATAAACTTTGGATAGCCCATACTGGGATAGTGGGATTGTCAGATAGTGGGTGTGAGATAAGAATTAAAGCAAATTGAATTTAGAAAAGGGAAAAAAAAATTGACCATGTGGTGGTGTCCATTAAAAAATGAATTGGGTTGGCAGCTGGCAGTTTATACTTCATTATTTTTGGTGCATCATTTACTTTTTTATTAATATGTATATGTAAAATTATATATATATATATTTATATTTATATACTTCCTCCGTTCTTAAATAAATAAATGCAACGCTCAACATTTCACACTTGCCAAGACACAAATTTGACCATTAATATATATGATTTTGTATTAGTAAAAAAAAATATATTGTGAAAATTTACAATGAGACAAGTTTAACAATATTTTTTTCATAAAAAAATATTATTACATTAATAAATAAAACGTAGTCAAAGTAGAACATGTGAATAGTGTAGAAGTCAAAGTGTTGCATTTATTTAAGAACGGAGGCAGTATATTTTTATATATAAATGTATTACGCTTCACGTCTACGCCTCATTGCGCAATGAGGCTTACACAATACGCAATAATAAAAAAACGCCACAATTACGCCATACGCAATTTCGAACCTTGGTCCCACGTCATCCAATTCCATATAAATTAGAGCTCTAGGGCTCTCCTGTAAATTCTAATTCCTAACATTGGAGTTCCAAGGCTCCTTTATAATTAAAATGAATTCATTCAATTCAGCTATCTCGATTCCAATTTCAACAAATTCAGTCATTTCAGTCACATTAAGTCTTATTAAATGACCTCATAATATGAATGCTACACTAGTTGATAAAAAGTAATGAACGCATAATTTTAAATACTCCATATCTTTTAGTTTGAAGGAATGAGAGAAGTTATCGACTTGTCGCCCCAAATTTGTTCAGCCTAAAATGCTTAATGCATGTTCTAGATCTTTTCAAATCTTTCTTCTATACATTTTACTCCGTATTTGATTTCCCTCTTGTTTTTATATCTGTGCCGTTCGATATCATGCAGGTGTATAACAGTTGTAAACCGATTTTTCAAAGCTCTAAGCTTTCCATTCGGGAGAAAATGGTGGATAGTGTCTACAGTACGTCAGATTCTTCCAGAGAACTACTTGGTAATTAGTGTGAGTTTTCTTTTTCTAACTCTTTTCCTTGCTTTTTGTTGTTTAATCTGATCGTATCATCTCAAGGTATTTCATTGTGGTGCAAAAGCATGGTAATGTGTGCTTGGGTATACTAGAAGGAAGCAAAATAAATAACGGTTTGGCTTTTATACTTGGAGGTATTCTTATACAGACCTCATTGGGTTTAAGGCATCATATGCTCATCAAGAATCGATGCCTCCACATGTTATGCTTAAATCTGCAGTTTTATCTTCATCGGCATTAAAATGTTTTGTTCTTTCTGATGCAGACATAACGTTACATGGTTATTTGGTTGCATATGACAATGTCAAGCAGCGGATTGGATGGACAAAATCAAACTGTGCCATACCAAAAAGATTTATGAGTTTTCCATTTCCTAGAGACATCTTTGTATGCAAAGCTTTCTAGCAGTTCCGATGTAATTAGTTAGTTAATTAATTATAGATGTAATATGGGTTATACAGTACCAAGGTGATGCACATATATTAATAAATGCAGTTTTTTTGTCTCTTGCTATTTTTCATTTGCTAATAGTGTTTTAACATGGTTTTCATGAGACCACCACTTCCCAGGGAGCCCCTGTGTTGTCCATCTACACCATGAGCATGGTTTAATCTTTGCGATACGGGCTTTGGTGGCCACAGTTCCGTGTCAGGAGAGGAACGGGCTGTCAGCCCATTTCCCTCTCCTGAGACAGATGACGACGTGGGGCCAAGCGTTGATTGGGCCTAACCAAAAGATAGTATAGGAGTGGAAGAAGGAGAGAAAGGCTTGTCCAAGTTGTTAGAGGAAGTGCAGAGGATGGAGAAGGTGCCACAGTCACTGCAGGAGTTCACGGAGTCGTTTCAGTTCCCATTAGAGCATGAGAAGGTAGACGATGTCGGAAGATGGAGGGTGGGCTGGTTCCACTGCAACAATAAGTTAGAGAGGCTTTGTTTCTCAGGATCGTGAGGAGCAGGGTTGAAGTGCTTGATGCATGTTTTGGATCAAGTTGGCAAAATGCCCTCTGCCTTTGGAGGTATTTCAATGAGGTTTCGATTCATTATTTCGTCCTACCGGATCCTCTGTTTCTAACCCTGCAATCTCACATGTTTCCTTATCATGCCAAGGTACAGTGGAATCTGCTTTTGGGACAGAATACTTATTAGTTCCAGGTATTCTTTATATTACTTCATTTTTCTGCCCTTCCACGTAGTATTTTTTGAATATTGACTTTAACTATGATGCAATATGGTCAAGTATATGTTCACTAAAAATAGAAACTATAGATATTGATACGATGTATAACTATTTGTATAATAACCATATTTCATTTGTGATCATCTGGTAACTATTTGTCACATATATGGAGCGTCTATTTTCACGTTCACTAAAACTTAGGATCTGTCTTTCAAAAATCCGTGTATATTGAATAATAATTGTATTTTTCAGAATTCATGTTAAATTGTTAACTAATTTACGCAGTACATCCGTTCAAAAAAATTACGCAATATATAATGTGTAATTTTCATGTTTACTATTGAGATTTGAGAATACATAGATGAACACACTAATTAGTAAAATGAAGTATACAAGGCCATTTTGATTTATATAAGGGTCGTCTTATATAAAATGTACTGAAACATATTTCACTTGATCAATGTGTCACACAAATGAAAGACCTAATATCTATTTAGTTAGGAATTAGGATGTGGACATTATTTTGAGACTTGCGTAAACACATAGTGTCAAAGAAATTGTAAACTCAACCACAAAAGATACATAAAAGTCAATAGAAAGAAAATCAAGTTAAAACACTTAGCAAATAAAAACAGAAACAAGATAATAATTATTTAGTGCATTAATTATAAAAAGCAATTGAGGAAGCGACCCAGTTCAACTGGTCGCTGGCTAACTCTCCCATACGGGAGGCCTCGAACTCGACATTCCATGAGGGAAGTTTTAGGTCTATTTACCCGAGGCTCCCCTAGCCCCCTCCATTTGACCCTTGGGATAAAAACTAAAATAAATAAATAAATAAATAAACAGACAAAGTAGGGTGTGTGCATAGCTTTAAATAGTGTTTTAAATAGTCTAAAAGGCAAAGTGTTTTACCTATTAAAGAATGGAGAATGTATGAGTACAATATAGATTATCTCAACACCATGGTTGGAATATTTTATATTTTACAATGTTTACATATCATACTTTTCTACTTTAACTACATTTTATTTATTAATACACTAAATGATTTTTCTAAATTAGATATAATAAAGTGTGTCTTTGATGGACATTTAAACGATTTAATTTTTTATTTTTACTAATAGTCAATTAAACATGTTATTGGTGAAATTCTAGTGTTGATAAAAATCAAATTACAAGTATTGCAATTTGTAGATCAAAAGTAATTTTATTTACTTCACAAATGGAACGAACGCTATGTGCATCAAGATAAATGCTTGCACATTTTAAATTGTATACTTACATCTATAAATTTATATTTGTAAATGAATGTGGTCAATGTGCTATGTAAGTTTTTACATGAAGTTCAAGTATACATTTTACATATGCAAATGTGATATACTTATTTAGCACTCATCAAAGTTTGGGATAGTCTACCAGATTACCGGATTTTGAATTTCAATATTATATTGAGAATAAATTATACGTAGTAGTATTTGAATGAATAATGATGTACAAACTGGTAGTAGAATAGTGTGTAACTTATTCAATGGTTGGTAGGAAATATAGACATGTAGATCGTAGAGTAGATGAAATGAGTAAAGTTTTTTTTTTTTGAAATGAGTAAAGTTGTATAGCAAGAAAACATTTTCCGGAAAGAAAGTGAAATTGTCAAATTGGTTACGCGGTGCCACACAAAGTAAAACGCGTCGGCGGCCCCTTTTTGAACCATTTCTCCACCACGACTTATGTTCCACTCCATCTATATTCATAAAACAAAATGCAAAACCCTCTTTACAAAATAAAGTTATTTTTTTTATAAATTATTTGAAGCAAGTGCTAGGTGATAACCAAAAGTGTAGAATACAATTAAATTGTGTAGAAAAAAGTAAATGCAAAAATCATAATCAACCAGAAGGAAATGAGCTGTTTGGCAGCCCAAAGTTTCAACTAATTAGTCTAATTAGTCTTTTTTAGACAAATATGCAACTTTTATTTTCACAAAATTGTAACTTTATTTTCGGATGAATATTTAGTTATTCTTTAATATAATATTTTTTTATTTTATACAGAGTATCGTTTACTCCGGTACGTACAAATTATGTATGGTTGTATCATATTAAAACTAAATAAGGTAAGAAATATTCATCAGTTTGTAATCTACTAAAAGATACTCACACTTTCTTTGTTGAGATGTTTCAAAAATAAAGTCACACTCCCCTTATTTGCCCGACTTCCCTTATTTCCTTATTTGGCAAAGAAATTTGAAACTGAGGGAGTATATCATTAAAAGTTGTAAATGGGTAAAAAAGAAAAGAAGCGGTAAAGTTGATGGAAAAGTAAAAAAAGAAAATGGTTACAATTATTATTTTTTATTTAATAAAGGTGAGTGAACATATACAATCTATATACATTGATTGATACGCAGTAGATAGAGATAGGGAGTAATAATAAAAGGGGTAATAATAATTACTCCGTAATTAATAATAGCAGCAGCACCTATTAGCCCCTTTTAATTCCATCGTCTTTGGTTTTCTCCATCCAAAATTACCTTTGTCTACAAGTGCCCTGCTGTTGAGTTGCCGGCGGCCGGGCCCTTCCCCACCAAAAGACTCAAAATCTTAACTTTTTCCGTTCCGACGTTTCTTGATTGATTGATTTCCAAATCGCCTCAAAAGCGACCGATCCTTAATTAGCTTTTGCAGAACCCACCACTGCTAGCTGCCATTAAATTCCATCAAGCTAGCCAGGATCCATTCTTTGTTTATATATACAGAGCTAGTGGAATGGAGGACGTCTCCATCAGGATTTGTTTCTTGGCGGTGATCATGTCGGCACTGTTGAACACCTGCTGCACCGCTGACCCCACCCCTGTGTGTCAATGCAGCTTGCCGCCGCCGACGCCGCCATCTCCGCCCGCCGACCCCAGCAACTGCCCTCCGCCCCCGCCCATTCCTCCTGCTACCCCGGGTAACGAGAACTTGCCAACACCGCCACCAACGCCGCCGTCAGGCTCCAACGACAACCCATCACCGCCGAGTTACACCCCGCCTGCGATTAGCAGTGGGCCACCCTACAATCCATCACCGCCAGCTCCGGGCTACAGTTACCAGCCCCCCACAGGGCCTGCGCCCCCACCTCCAAACCCAATTCTCCCCTACTTCCCATTCTACTTCCTCCACCCACCTCCACCACCTGATTCCTCCGCCGCCGCTGCCGCCGCCATGCCATCGATTTCTTGCCTGCTCCTTCTCCTCTTCCTCGTAATTATGCTCCCCCCTTCATTTCCTTTTCCGTTGATGAATGCATAAATAAATACGGAGCAAGTAAGATCATACATGCTCTGTTTTTCTTCCAAGAAAGAATAGATTATATATAGTGCTCAAGTGTACGTCGGAGGAATATTCACAGATCGCCTTCGCCGGCCTGCCCATCCTCCGATTCAATCGAAGAAGAATCTGAAAGCTGTGTGGCCGGCCGGCCTGCTGCCCGCCGGTCTCTCACCGAACCAGCTTTGTTAGTGGGGCCCGACCGGTAATCTGCATATTCTTGATGGCATTTATGTCCTTTTGCCTTCCTTTTTTCGTTTTACATTTTAACATATTGTTTCCTTTGCTTTTGCATAGGATGTAACGATCCATACTGTCTCTTAATTAATCATTAGTCAATTTTCCTTTTGTATTGCGTATACTCTTGGGATAAATTCAAAATTTCTGATGTAACGTCTCTTTCATACTTTCTTATTGCCCTCTTGTATCTCCTTCTCACATGTCATTATGTCAATGTAAACTTCTTGTTAAGAAATGTGTTTGTTTTAAAGTTATCAATTCCATTCCTAGCCCCCTTGTTTGTAGATCATTGTTTAGGTTATTTAACGAAAATTTTATTTATATTTATGTATTACCTCCGTTCTTAAATAAATGTAATATGTTAAAGTTTACACTATTCACATATTCCATTTTGACTACATTTTATTTATTAATTCATTAATATACATATATAGAGGATAGTTCGAGTTAGGACATCTTGACTGGAACCCCCGTGCGGACAACACCATCAGAGAGCCTTCTCGATGGAATTTTTTGATGAAATTTTTTGCGCATGTTCCTCATCAAGTCTAGTTTATGCATACTAAGTTTCAGCTCAAAAATCAATCGGGAAGGCATTTAAATATATTTTGGAGACATACTGCTCATTTTGTACATATATAAAACGCAGTATGTTTCAAGAATTTGTTTAAATGCCTTCTCGATTGAATTTTGAGCTAAAATTCGGTATCCATAAACTTGACTTGATGATGAACATGCTCAAAAGATTTCATTAAAAATCCACCGGAAAGATCCTCTGATGGTGTTGTCCGCACAGGGGTTCCGGTCAAGACGTCCTGACTGGAATGAGACTAGATACTTTGTCTCAGGAAAGTAGTTACCGATGAGTTCCCAGCAATGTAAATGAAAATGAGACTAGATGGAGTGAGATTAGAGATGTGTGAGTAGTAGTACACTAGTATAGCAGTATGTATATCCCATTCAAGTCGGGTTTAATATCCCCGCGTGTACGTCGGAGGAGTATTCACAGATCGCCGCCGCCGGCCCATCCTCCGATCCAATCGAAGAAGAATCTGAAAGCTGTGTGGCTGGCCGGCCTGCTTGGCTGCTTCCCACCGGTCTCTCACCGATCCAGCTATGCTAGTGGGGCCCGGTCGGTAATCTGCATATTCGTGATGGCATTTGTGTCCTTTTGCCTTCCCTTTTTTCGTTTTACATTTTGACATATTGTTTCCTTTGCCTTAGCTTGCATAGGATGTAACGATACATATTGTGTCTTAAATTAATTCTTAGTCAATTTTTCTTTTGTATTGCGTAGGCATGGACTCGGGCCGGGTTGGGCCGGGTTGGGCCTGGGCCGGGCATAGGCCCGGTCGGGCCGCCGGTTTGTATCTCATGGACCCGGGATCGGCCCGAGGGTTGGACGGTCCATCTAAAAATGTAACAAATATTAAATTGCAACAAATCATTTCATTTTCATTTTCATTTACCCCAGTGCCGAAAAGGCTCCCACCTACGGTGGGGTAAGGGGAGGTCGGATGTACGCAGTCTTACCCCTGTACTAAAGCACAGAGAGACTGTTTCCGGATGACCCATAGTGAAAATCCCGTCCAAAATTGCATGGACTGACTGTTGCTTCATAACAAAGAAGCGTAGACAGTTTAGTGAGCCATTTTGCTTTATTCCATCATAATCTCAAGCCAAAAAATAATGAATCTTTGGCTCCACTGCAAATGATGGAATTGCAACAAATATATTAATAAAAATATATTAATAAAATATTGTAATAAAGTAATTAACTATTAATCTAACTATTAATTCGAGTTATAGCAAATTAGTATTTTAAAGTTTACTTTAATCAAATTAACTAGTGAATTAACTAGTTTTGTGTACAACCAATTTTTTTTACTAACAATGAAATTAATATACTTTAATTATAATGAGAATTAACTAGTTTTTTAAACAAAAGTCAAAGGCATCAATTAATAAAAAATTGTAATAAAGTAATTAACTATTTATCTAACTATTAATTCGAGTTATAGCAAATTAGTATTTTAAAGTTTATTTTAATCAAATTAACTAGTGAATTAACTAGTTTTGTGTACAACCTATTTTTTTTACTAACAATGAAATTAATACACTATAACTTTAACTATAATGAGAATCAACTTGTTTTTTAAACTAGAGTCCAAGGTAGCAATTAATAAAAAATTGTAATAAAGTAATTAACTATTAATCTAACTATTAATTCGAGTTATAGCAAATTAGTTACAATAATAAAATGATTTCGTACCTCTTTCGGACTTTCGGTCTTTCGGATGGGAGTAATAGAATGACTTCAAATTAATTAGATATAATTCCAACTATATTAATAGATATAATAAATGTATAAGTAATATATAATTAGATAAGAAATATAAGTAATATAATGTATGTATTTATAAATTATAAGTAGCTAATTAATATAAAGTAGATATATAAATATAATATATTGGAGAATAAGAGAATTAGAGAGTAGAGAGTTAAAAATAGGATTTAGGAAGAATGGGAGAAAAGATATGAAAAAATGTTTTAGATTAGGAGTATTTATATGTTTTTTTACTCCACCCCCACCCCCACCCCCCCCATTCCCCGGACCCCCCTTGCAGCCCACCCAACGGCTATATAGCCGTTTGGGTTGTCCCCAGTCCACCCCCAACGGCTAGTTTGGCCCAAAAGTCCAAAACAATTTTTTTTTAAATTGTGACCGTTGGACTCGGACCCAGGCCCGACCCGGCCGGGTCGGATCAACTATTTCGGAACCGAGCCCGCCCCGCCCATCCCCCGGTTCGGGTCTACACCCGGTCCCGGACCGCCAGACCGGGCCGGTCCCGGGCCTACACAGTAGCAGGCCGGGTGGCCCGAACCGAGTCCAAGTCTAGTATTGCGTATACTTTTTAAATTCAAAGTTTCTGATGTAACGTCTCTTTCATCCTTTCGTATTGTCCACTTGTATCTCCTTCTCATATTACGAATGCACATGTAATCTTCTTGTTAAGAACTGTGTGTTTTAAAGTTATCAATTAATTCATAGCCTCCTTGTTTTTAGATCGTTGTGTGACTCTTAGTTTGTTACCAAGGATTCACTTTCCAGAATTGTTAAATGAAAGAAAAAATTTTAGTGCACATGAGTTGTACACAAAATGTACAGAAAACCACCTAGTTGTCCATATACCTCGTCATACGCAATAATTTATTTTTAATTATCCATACCGGCCCCAAACAAAGCTATGAATCCCCTACTGACCTTGAGAATCTTACTATAATACGTCTAGCTACGTTTATAATGTTGTCCTTTTCTTTTTAGTTACAACACTTGCATTTTTACATTTACCAATGCGAGATTTGACCATTAATATAGTGAATTTGCTATTAGTAAAAATTATAATAATAAAAAAAGAGTTTCTAAAAATTTTAAATGAGGAATTTAATTTTTCTAAATATAATTTCTTCATAAATCATCAAATGAAATGTAGCCAAATTAAAAAATATGAATAGCCTAAAATTCAATATGTTGCACTTATTTAAGGGGAAATCGTATAAAACCACTTATTTACAGGGTAAAGTGATATAAACTATTTCCCAATGCATAAGTTTGTCATTTTAGTACTGTTTGATTGTTGTCTTTAATTGTTTAGTATAGTTTGTGATGTACTCCTTATATTTATTTTGTAGGTTGTAATTTGTATTTTTAGTGTATATTTTATTGTAAGTACCATAAGGGATGCAAGAGAGTATTAATTATAGGTACCAAAGGAAGGCAATATGAAACAAGGAAATAAATTCCGGTATCAAACCCGGTCGGGTTGGAACACAACCTGATCGGATTGGAAGTGACATATGAAGCCAACACGAAGCTACGGGGTGAAACCCGGTCGGGTTGGTACACAACCCGACCTGGTTGAGTTAACAAGAGAACGTGGAAAATATACGATTTGATACGCAACCCGATCGGGTTGTGACTCAACCCAGTCAGGTTGGATGTGACTTTAGTACTTCCCGAGCACTTTAAGGATATCCGGTCGGGTATTCTTTACACGCGGTCGGGTATCATGCCCAGTCACCTCAAAATATTTATAAATACACCCCTTTTCCTCCCCATTTAATCACTAATTCACACATACTTTTAAGTTCAGTCTAGTTAAGTGGTTTCTTTATATTTTCTATCATGTTTAGTCTCCAAATGAAAAGTTAAACTCTTTCATCTTGGTTTTTCTACATACGTTGAAGCTTATTAGTTTGTAAGTGGTGAGTTATTTTCTTTAATCATCTTCTTTGAATATTAATTACATTCCTATTTTATATCTCATATTAATATTTGAGATCGACGAATAAGCTTGTTAATATATTAACTATTACTAGAATCGATCGACGAATAAGCTTGTTAATTGTTCGGTCCTTTCAACGGTAGTAAACTTGAATTATTAATGCATGCGTCTCATGATTAATAATCTAAGAGGAATTAATTAAATTAATAAACCATTAAACCGCTTGTGTTGAGGTTGTCAATCTCAGTCGATTTCATCTTAACTTTTATTGCTACTATGGGGTCAATATATGGCGCATGTTGTATATTGACTTGATAGTAAACTTTATGAATGAACGTGTCTCGTTATTAATAATTACCCTTGATGAATTAGAAATACTTCACGATTGAGTATTCGAGAGAAGATAGTTAAAGATATAACCAGGATCGACGAACTTTTCATTAAGTGGATACAAGCAAAACCAAGTCTCCATCTCTAATTAATTAAAACACATAAGTCGTTCAACTTATTGTTTAAATATTCTTAAAGCTCAATTTACTATTGTTTAAATATTATAAACCAACTTTTCATTGTTTAAATATTATGTTTAATGTTTCATAGTTGAATAGTGATTCACATATATTTATAGGATTAGAGAATCTACTAAAGAGAAGATTTGTCACTTTGAAGATTGTTCAACATCATCAAAAACTAATGGAAAAAGGAGAAAGGTGCATCATGTCAAGGAGAAAAATTTACTTTCCAAATTGGATGATCTTAATTACAATAACAAATTGTAATGATTCTGTGATTCTGTGAAACTCCATCTTTTGGACAATAAATGACAAAGGTACAAGTTTATTTAATTACATAATTACTAAATTTACTCAATAAACTTTGCCTTATGTTTATCTTATGCCTATATTTAATCAACTAAAATGATCTTTAGGATTTACCTCTTGGTGAAGATATGAATCCATTCCAGGAAAATTCATGTGAACAAATCATAATTGAGCTGTTGACTGTTGTGGTCCAGAAAAGAAAAAGAAAAGAAATCTGCGGGGCAGAAGAAGCCATTTCAAATTACAAGAGAATTTAAAAGAATGCCAAAAGAAAACCAAGGTTGGAAAAAAGCGAGTTAAGAATTATAGTTGACATTTCTGAATTTATTTACTTGTTAACTTTTCTGTTTCAGATGTTGATAGGTGTGCATCTATGGAGGCTGACGCTGACACTCATTTTGGCAGCAGGAACAACCTACGGAGTAGTAGTTTTTGGCTTTTAAAATCATGAGCTTTTTAACCTTTGTTTGGGTTGTAATTGCTATGATACAAAGGAGTAGTTATTAGATAAACTAAAAATGTTTGACAGTTCGTGTATTTACTACCTCCGTCCCACTAACATTGGGACGGAAGAAGGTGACACGTTTATTAAGAAAAGTGAGTTTATGTGGTTGATATTGAATTGATAAAGTAAGAATGATTAAGAGTCACACAAACTTTACCAAATATGGTATGAGAAAAATAAAAGTTCTGAAGCTACAGGTATCTTTGTGATGCCATCAGATTTACACAGGTATCTTTGTGATGCCAGAGGATATGATGCATCCACTCCAGATGGATCCAGATTATTATTGGACATGACAACACAAATACTACTTGATAACTACAAGTATTGTTTTAATTTGCTGCACATCCTTGTGTGAAAACGAGCCATAGCTTTGAAGAAGCAGAAAAAAGCTTCCCCAAGTTTGTGGCCGAAGGACGGGGAGAATTTGATACAGAACTTGCAGATCCTACAGGAAGGTAAATCGAACTCACAAAGTCACATCCTTTGGAGACTTTAAGAGATTATACATGGTGGTAATTACATTCTTGGCGATAGCAAGGGGTAGATACAGGCGCAGCTCATTTTCCCTCACGGGTCACCAATGATCTTTGCATTAAAGCAGATGTGTTGCAGATTATGATGACATACGGAGACTTGAAGTACTGTGGACCACTCTTGAAACCTTATCGAATAGTTAAAAAAATTTTGGGTTGTAAATGCAGTCGCTTCTAACATGAATTAATAAGGTCAAACACTGTGGAATTCAGAGATACAGATCATGGAAGTAAAAGGAAGCTATGCTTCGTGCAAAAGAAAAGAAAGAACTGAAGGAATTTTCATATTATTCTGCACTACTGTAAATGAATTTACAAGAGATGTATATATACAAAGTACAAGAAGAATATCTTAGCTAATCCTGTAACAAGAATAACTAACTAAGAAGTTTCTAGTTTCTTCTGCTGGCTTCTATATTTACTTATGCATGAGCTATGAATAATGAGTGTAGATAGATGGCTTTATGTTACTGATGTATCTTCTGTGTGTGCTCTTTTATTATGCCAAGACCCCCCCTCAAGAGGAGAGTACAGGTTTTGTACGCTCATCTTGGATAGTAAAGAGTGAAAAATAGCTCTACCAAGAGGTTTGGTAAGTAAATCTGCCAGCTGGTGTGTAGTGGGAACATATAGAACTCATATGATGCCAGATTGAATCCATTCTCTAATGAAATGACAATCAATTTGGACATGTTTGGTTCATTCATGATGTATAGGATTAGCAGCCAATGCTATGGTTGATTTGATGTCACAGTATATAGTAGCTTTAGATGCAGTTATGTGGAAGTCTTTAAAGAGTTGTAGGAGTCCAAGAACCTCTGCAGTGGTGGTAGCAAGGGATCTATATTCTGCTTCTGCAGAACTGTGAGAAACGGTGTTTTATTTCTTTGACGTCCAGGAGATGAGAGAGTTCCCTAGAAACATGCAATATCCAGAAATGGATTTTCTTGTGTCAACACAACTTGCCCAATCTGAATCTGAAAAGCCTTTGAACTGAAGATCATTATTAGAAGGATAGAGTAAGCCTTGTCCAATAGTTCCCTTGAGATATCTGAGAACTCTGTGTGCAGCAGATAAGTGAGAGTATCCTGGTTTTCGCATAAATTGAGCCAGTGTGTTGACTGTAAAGCTTATGTCTAGTCTGGTGATGGTGAGGTAAAGAAGTTTACCTATCAAAGACCTGTAAGTAGTGGGATCTGGGAGGTAATGATCATCATTAGTACTGAGTCTCAGTTTGCTATCCATGGGAAAGGAATCAGGTTTGCAATTGTGGTAGTTGAAATTCTGTAACAGTTCCATGGTGTATTTGCGTTGACATAGGTAGATGCCTGTATGAGATCTGGCAACTTCCAATCCTAGGAAGTATTTGACAGGACCTAAGTCCTTGATTTTGAAATTAGTGTCTGGGAATTTCTTGAGTTTGTTTATTTGTTGGATGTCAGAACATGCAACTAGAATATCATCAACATATACCAATAGAATCATTGTATATGTACATGTGTGAAGAGTGAAAAGAGAGTAGTCAACAAGAGACTGAGTAAAGCCATAAGTCTTTAAGGCAGTTGATAGTTTGGAAAACCACTGTCTACTGGCTTGTTTAAGACCATAAAGGCTCTTCAGAAGGCTACAGACTTTGTTCTTAGTAGTGGGAGTAAATCCTGATGGTACTTGCATATATACTTCCTCATGGAGATCTCCATGAAGGAAAGCATTGTTGACATCCATTTGCTCAAGAAACCAACCTTTGGAGGCTACTAAGGCAAGTAAAATTCTCACTGCAGTTAACTTAGCTACTGGAGAGAATGTATCCAGATAGTCCAACCCTTCTATTTGTGTAAAGACCTTTGCAAAGAGACAAGCTTTGTACCTTTCAATTTGACCATCAACTTGATATTTTACTTTGTAGATCCATTTACATTTGATAGGTACTTTTCCAGGAGGCAAGTCAGTGATAATCCATGTTCCATTAAATTCAAGTGCATCTATCTCATTTTGCATAGCTTTTCTCCAATTAGGGTCAGATGAGGCTTGATTATCGGTGGTGGGTTCAACAATGTGAGAGATAGAGGCAGAAAAAGATTGATGGGAGTGGAAAAATCTGTTAAAAGAGATGTACTTGTCTATAGGATGAAGAATTTTACCTGATTTTGTCTTAGTGGGAGAAGGAGTGTTGGTGGCAGATTTGGTTTGAGTACCCGTACATATGTAATCCTGCAGATGAGAAGGTGGTTTTCTGATTCTTGAAGATCTGTTAGAAGGAGTGAAAGGAACATTATTTGATGGAGGGATGTTAATGATAGGAGATGTATTATCAGGTTGGGTGCTGGAGTTATGATTGGTGGTGGTTGGGGGGATGTTAGGAATGGTAGTTTCTCGTATGAAATTGGGCACAACAGTGTCATTAGTTTTAATGGGTGTGTTAAGGAAAGGATATGTAGACTCTTGAAAGATGACATCCCAGGATAGAAATGTTTGATTTGTGTCAAGATCAAACAGTTTGTAACCTTTGGTATGTGAAGGATATCCAATAAGGATGCATCTCCTTGCTCTTGGCTGAAATTTGTCTTTGTGACCAATTAAATTGGAAACAAAACAAAGACAACCAAAGGTTTTTGAGATTAGAGTAATCAGGAAGTTTATTGTGAAAAACTTGGAATGGAGATTTGTTGTTTAGGACAAGTGTGGGAATTCTGTTGACCAAATGAACTACAGTCAATATGCAGTCCCCCCAAAAAGTGAGAGGGAGATGAGCTTGAAATCTTAGGGCTCTGGCTATATTTAAAAGGGTTTGATGTCTTCTTTCAACCACCCCATTTTGTTGTGGGGTGTAAGGGCAGGTGGTTTGATGAATGATACCCTCTTGGGAGTAGAATTCAGAGAGAGAAAATTCCGAACCTCCATCAGTTCGAATGATTTTAATATGCGCAGAAGACTGAGTGATGGCCATTTTATGGAATGAAATTAGATGGTTTTTAGTTTCAGATTTATGTTTCATCAGACAACACCAAATGAGTCTAGAGAAATCATCTACAATGGTAAGAAAATACTGAAAACCATCATAGGTAGGAAAAGAAAAAGGACCCCAAACATCACAGTGTATAAGATCAAAAGGTTTCTCAGATTTTATTGAGCTTTTGGGAAAAGATAGCCTGTGTTGTTTGGCTAAAGGACATATATTACAATTTTTATTATCAAGTGTAGAAATATGCAACACATCTTTAAGAACATGAAGTTTGGAATCAGAAATGTGGCCTAATCTTTGATGCCACAAACTAGATACAGTAATATGTGAGGTGTGTACGGGATTTGGGATGTAAGGAATCTTCTTATGATGCAGAATGTACATCTCTTTCACCAATTCAGCAATGCCAATCTCCTTCTTTAAGGATTTGTCCTGTATGACACATTTGTCATTATTGAAACTAAGAGTTAAAGATGTTTTAGACAGAAGTTTGTTTACAGATAGTAGGTTTACATTAAAATCAGGAATGTGTAAGACTTTATGCAATATGGCATTAGGTAAAAGAGTTACAGACCCAATGTGTGTAACTGCAACTTGTGAACCAGTGGGTAGATGTACTGAAATATTAACAGTAGGAATGAAAGAATCAAGGAGAGAGATATCACTGATCATGTGATCAGTTGCTCCTGTATCTAAGATCCAAGAGTGGGAGGTAGGTAACACAATATTGGCTCTAGTAATGAAAGTGCAGTATCTATTTAGATTACCCGAACTAGAAGCCTGATTTGAGGATAAGGGAGTGAGTTTGTTGTTTTGAGAATGGGTTAGGTTTTGGATCAAGCTAAGCAAATGTTGATATTGCTCTTGTGTCACATTGGAACATGCCTTATCATCAACAACCTGAGGAATTTCCTCTATCTGAGTAATATAAGCTCTGTTTTGACTTGATTTATTTCCACCAGAAGAAGTGTTATTGTTCATCTGCTTTCCTTTTGATCTGTATCCTGGAGGATATCCATGCAGCTTGTAACATGTATCAATTGTGTGGTTAGTGAAACCACAATGAGTGCAAATCATCTTGCTATCCCTCTTCTGAAACTGGTTGTTTGATCTGTATCCTTTATTCATGCTATAATTCACAATATGATCAATTTCTTCCTCACCATAGGTCTCATTCTTACTCATCATCACCATATGTTCCATACCTACACCATTGCCTAGATTTCTCTGCATCTCATCTTGTAGCTTGAAACTAAAGACTTGGTTCAGTTTAGGAAAAGGCTTTATGGTGAGTATTTGTCCTCTAATTCCAGAAAAAGCATCATTTAGACTCATAAGGAATTTCATTGACATGTTTCTTTCTTCATGTTCCATCATGGTTTTTAAGAAATCGCACTTGCAGGTTTTAACAGCACCACAAGTACATCCAACAACTGGATTGTACTGGTTTAGTTCTTTCCATAACGAATCCAATTTATCGTAGTAGTCGGTAACACTAAGATTGTCCTGAACCAATGTGTAAATCTGTTTCTGCAAATCAAAGATTTGAGGCAAGTTACCTTGAGAAAATCTCTCATTCAACGTGTTCCACATCTTAGCTGCAGATTCCTCATAGAGGATGCATTGCGCAATCTCTTTAGTGCATGAATTCAAAATCCAAGATTGTACCATCAGATCACTTCTCTCCCAAATCTCGAAGGTTTCGTCTGTTTCACTAGGTTTAGCGATTGATCCGTTGACAAATTTCATTTTATTCTTAGCTCCCAGCGCGATTTTCATCGACTTACTCCATGAATGGAAATTGTTTCAATTCAATTGAGGGCTGACAAGAACAATGTTTGGTTTGTCTCTTGATCCTATATAGAATGGACTTGTGATATCTTCACTTGCAGAGTTGCAGGTCTCGGCATTATGATGATGATGAAGATTAAACTGAACTGAGATGAAGAATTATGATGAAAATATGCTCTGATACCATGTGGAATTCAGAGATACAGATCATGGAAGTAAAAGGAAGCTATGCTTCGTGCAAAAGAAAAGAAAGAACTGAAGGAATTTTCATATTATTCTGCACTACTGTAAATGAATGTACAAGAGATGTATATATACAAAGTACAAGAAGAATATATTAGCTAATCCTGTAACAAGAATAACTAACTAAGAAGTTTCTAGTTTCTTCTGCTGGCTTCTATATTTACTTATGCATGAGCTATGAATAATGAGTGTAGATAGATGGCTTTATGTTACTGATGTATCTTCTGTGTGCTCTTTTATTATGCCAAGAAACACCAAGATTACTGTTTGTCGTGGTCAAAATTGTAATGCTGTTTTAATCATCTTCTTTCAATATACTTCGTAGTAAGTTTTTGATGATAAACATTTGAGTAAGAAGCAGTGGCGGAACCAGGACACGTGACTCGCAGGGGCACAATTAACAAAGAAATGATATAGCAGTCTAGAAAAAAAATCATAGGCATCACGAATATAGCAATAAACAAAACTATAAAATTAAAATAAAACAACTACTTAAAGAGTACCTTAATTTTGATTAGAACGTGACGCGGCAAATGAAGGACAATAATTGAGAGGCGGCAATCTTTGTCTTCGAGGTGCCATACTCTGAAATCGCCTCATTATGACTTCATTCTCAATTTTAACAAATACATCTTTCTCAATGTAACACACCAAGCAATCTGTCAAGTATTCTTCTCCAATCTTGTTGCGCAAATCATTCTTGATAAACTTCATCGTCGAGAAAGATCTTTCAACTGTGGCGGTTGTAACGGGTTAAACCAATGCCAATTGGATGAGTCGGTACACTAACTTATAAGTTGTTTGCCACTCTGTTTTAACCAATGTTTTTGCCAAATCTCCAATACTTTGTAAGCCTGAAAATCGTGGAGATGATTTGACAAATGTAATGAACATCCTAAGTTGTTCATTTAGTTCAAATTTTTCTCTTGAACTAAAATCATCTGGGTATAGATTAGCAAGACGAAGTAGTCGCTTCACATCAAAATTGGAGAATGAGTCTTTGGGACTTAACGATGCTATGCACATTAGTAGCTCTGAACTTGACTCGGTAAAGCGATTATTCATCTCTTGAATAAGACGATCAATAACCTAACATTATATTAAAAAACGTAATTAATTACAATAACAAAATAAATAAATTTAAATACAATTAAGTAAGGAATAAAACTTTTAAAAGTACCTCGAGAAAAATGTCAACATGAAAATAGTGATAATAAGTTTTCGGACTACCATCAATTGTCTTCTGCCTTTTCACTCGTCCTGGCTTTACATCCATCATATTAGGTACATCAATATCATGCTTTGAACAAAATGTAGCCACTTCTTCAATCAACAAATCCCAACCATAATCATTCCTATATTTCTCCAAATCGGTTTTGACGGTCTTGACAAGATCCACAACATTGCCTATGTTTTGATTTTTTGTTGCAATTCCTTTGATAGCACATTAGTTTTTCCCAATAATTGCAACATGAAATGCGCAATGAACACAAAATCATAGGATGCCATTTTTTCAATCAAACTAGAAGAAGTGGACTTACTTTTGAGATCAACAACATCATCAAATATAGCTTCAAGCACCTCAATGACCGCATCCCACATATCAACAACTCTAATGATTGTTTTATAAAGGGAACCCCAATGAGTATCACCCGGTCGTGCTAGACTTTTTTCTTGATTTTTCCCCTTCCCCGTGCTAACCTCACCACGTTCTATACGCGCTACAAGATCCTCATAATGCTTTTGTAAAAGATCATCTTTTCTCTTACATGATGCACCAACCACATTTACAATCATGATGAGATGATAAAAAAACTACCAACTATTCCATTGCTCTTCAAAGAGGACACAATCACTAATTGAAGGCGATGAGCAAAACAATGAACATAATGTGCTTGCTTATTTTCCTCCAAAAAATTTTGTTTTAAGCCATTAATTGCACCACTCATATTGGAAGCCCCATAATAACCTTGGCCTCGAACCTTAGACATCGAAAGACCATATTTTGCAAAAAAATCATCAATGGCATTTTTCAATGTATGCACACAAGTGTTACTAACATGCACCACTCCCAAAAATCGCTCAATTACCTCCCCACAATTGTTAACAAACCTTAAAAACAGAGACATTTGCTCTTTTATGGAACTATCTCGAGCCTCAATCGGCTTACGCAATCCAGGATCACCAACAATGTCATCATCCGACAATTCAATGATAGGAATGACATTTTCCGATGAAGAAATTAAATTATTCGATGAAGAATCACCAATGATAGGTTGTTTCGGTTTCGGCGGAATTGCCGAAAAATATCGTAACATAGCCATTGTTTGTAACACAACCTAGACCAACTACAATTGAAATTTGAAATAATATGAGTATAATTTTTCAAATTTGAACTATTCAAGTATTCAACATTTAAACCATAAGTGATAAGTCACACAACATATAGGAATCAATGATTCAATGAAGCATAAATCATTCATGATTCATCAACAACACAACAAATCAACAATTAAAAAAAATTAAAACATACCTTCGGGCTTCGGCAATCGGCACTGGCCGCACTGCGTGAGTGCGTGAAATTCCTGGCGTGGCCGCGTGGCGGCGTGGGCGGTGGGCCGGCCGCACTGCGTGAGTGCGTGGACGGTGGACTTCCTGGCGTGGCCGCGTGGGCGGTGGGCGCCTCTCGCCGTCTCGTGTCTCGCCTTTGTTCTCGGGTCACCGACTGTCGCCGGGTCAGGAAAGGCCAAAAGGGGGGATTGGGGGAAGCAGGGAACGGCCGAACGGGATTTGGGAAAGGGGGGAATGGGAATGGGAAAGGGCCGGGGGAACGGGAATTTGGGCCGCAGGGAAAGGGGAAGGGGAAGGGGAATTGGGATTGGGCTGCAGCCTGCAGGGACCCAACTTAATAAAAATTAATAATATATATATAGAGAGGGGATGGTTCAAATACAAAGACTTATTCCCATGCAAAGTGAGAATGAATCTTGTGCATTCATTTCCGCATCTAATGGCTCAAAATGAGCCAAAAATGCACAAAATTCGACCAAAACCGCGGTGGCAATTTCTTAAATATGTTGCACTTTTTCGTTACCGCGAAAAAGTGCAACAGAAACACGCAAAAGTGCAAGCGAAACATGCAAAAGTGCATATCTTCGCACTTTGCACGGGAAGATGTTTTTTTATTTGAACTCTTCCCTATATATATATATATATAATCACTGGGGGCCGGGCACCCCCTAGCCCTAGGGTGGGTCCGCCCCAGGTAAGAAGATAAAATTTACATGTGTACGGTTGGATTTTCTTCTTAAAAACGTGAAGATTCATGTTTCTTACCTCTAATTTAAAAAAGAATACGGAGTACAAGTCAATGAAAGGCGGCGTTTAATATTTGTGTTTATATATATGGAAAGAAAAAAAGAGGATGAGAAAATACGTACATCTTACAATCCCAAATTCCCAATCCAACCTCGTGCCCTACCGAACGAGATCTTTAGGTTCTTGAATACTACGTAGTAATCTTCCCTCAATCGAACCTTCCGTGTTAATTTGGGGTCGATCGGATAATACATGGCAGCAGAGTCTAGTAAGCCGCCCCAGTCAGTCTACGATTTCACCGTTAAGGTCTGTCTGTTTTTTAGCTCTGCCCTATTCTGATTTTGCTTTTTGGAATAAAAGGATTAAATCTGGCTCAAGGTGATTATTAATTTAATAATTTTATAAAGTGAGGTTCTTTTTTGTATGAACATTTCTGGTAATATACGCTCTCTAGGGCTTGCTGTTGAGCTAGTAGGAGGAATAAGAAAAAACAGAAGAGGGTGGGGACTTTTGAAAAATGATGTTTACAGTTGTACTAAAAGAAAATTGTTTGATTCTAGAGATTTATGATTAGTAGGCTTCTCATGGATGATCAGAAAGCAAGCTAATGGAGTTGACATGCTGCATTTCATATGCTTCTTAACTATACTTTACGGAGTTTTTGTTTACCTTGCTTTAGCCCAAGTAGTTGATTCACTTGGTTTGCGCTTGGCAGTAAATTCAAGCTCTCACTTTGCGTTGCGTTTAGATCCAGCTTTCACAAAAATAAAATTTCCTTTTGTAACGTCCAAACGGCGTTGAAAAGCATCCTTGTAAAGAGTGTTTGCAAAAAGATTAATCAAATGTTTTCCAGATTTTTGTTTTAAAAAGCGGAAATTAGTGTTTTGAAGCTACAACTTCTTAAGCAATCTGGAAGCATGTGGAAGGGTGTTATAAAATGCTTTTTCATTTTTTCTATGGCACAAAAAAATACTTCTTTACTAAGACTACTTTTGTCAAACACGGTCAACTTGTACTATTGAGCACTTTCTTTAAAATTACAATAAAAAAAGCTTTTAAATGTAGAAACAACTGCAAATACTCCCTTAAATTCAAAAATCACGAATCTCTATATCATAGAAAGTGCCTTCACTTTACTGAGTGGACTTTATGAAAAATCCATCAACTCATTTTTAACTAACTACCTTTAAAGATGTGGGGAGAGGAGCCAGCGAGAGGAGAGGAGAGGTAGGGGACAACCGATACGAACGTGGTTATGAATGATGTGATACTTCTTGAGTTAGATGAAAGTATGACTTTGGATTGGGCGAAGCGGAGAAAATATGTGTGGAGGATTGATTTGATTTTGTTAGTATCCCTTCCTTTCCTTTTTTGTATTTATTGCTTTTTAATTCCGATGTCATATGATGATTCATGTTAGCCCACCCCTATTTTTTTTTGGATAAAGGGTGGGATGTTGTTGTTGTACCTCTAAGGATGGTCTTTTTTGAGTCAGCCAAAATCAAATACACTTTTTTATATATGTCTATATTATTATGTTGTCATTGAGAGTGTGAGGTGTGGATTACTGGAATGATTAAAATTGGATGCCATAACTGAATGATTTGGTTGCCGTTGTTTCTGTTTCTGTTGTTGTTTCTACCTGTTATGTGATTGATGAAATAGTAGAGCTCTTGGCACGTGTTACCAGAATGCTAAAGGAGAGGATGTTAAACTTAGTGCTTACAAGGGAAAGGTCCTTTTGATTGTGAATGTTGCATCACAGTGGTATGTCAGTTTTCTGTACTAAATAAGAATGATTCATTTTGATGAAGATTTAAAAAGGCTAGTTTGTGTATCGTTCCGGAAAGGCTAGGCGTAAGCCTCAAGTCTCAAGATTTGAACTACGTAGTATTAAAAACCAACTAAAGATATGCATAATTATAAGTCCAAAAAGTCTCAAGCAGAAACATATGTTCTGGTTACATCATCGTGATTCATGCATGATAGGTCAAATTGAAATTCAACACAAACAAACACATCACACAAAAGACAATTTAACAATGACACAAATACACAAAATAGAATAGAAATCCAGAAGCCTAATCATTATAATCATCATGGCTTGAAGGGCATGAAGGCCCTTCAGAAAAATCATAATATCTTATAGACTTATCGCCATCACTATCCGAGTCGTCCCGATCATCCAGGCTTATGGTACCTGGAAGAAAGGTAGCAGATTTTCGACTTCTTGAAGCAGAAGGTTGAGCGGTTAAAGTCGTCCCGATCACCATGAGACGCATGCATTAATAATCTAAGTTTACTACCGTTGAAAGGACTGAATGAATAACAAGCGTATTAATCGATCGATTCTAGTAATAATTAATATATGAAACAAAACTAGTTGATCCTTTAAGTAATGTTCAAAATATTAATATGAGATGTAAAATAGGAATGTAATTAATATTCAAGGAAGATGATTGAAGAAAATAACTCACACTTACAAGTCATTAAGCTTCAGTGTAGCAAAAACAAGATGGAAGGGTTTAGCTCCTCATTTCAAGACTAAACATACTAGCAAATATAAAGGAAATATATGTCTAAATTGAGCTTAGAAGTATATAAGATTTGGTGATTTTATTGTGAAGGAAAAGAGATGTATTTATTGGTGTTTGGAAGTGGCAGGGTTGTGTACCTGATCGGGTATATAGGGTACTTGATCGGGTATTTTAGGCAGTTTCCCAGAAAGTCCTGCATGTTTTTTTGGTCTCTCCAGATTCTGATTTTGACACCCGAATCAACTCAATACCCTATCGGGTATTGCCTATACCCGTACGGGTATATGAAATCTTTTTCAATCTTCTTTTTATCGTCCCCTTGCACTTTCATTGATCTTTTGGGGTCCAATCTTGATCCTTTGAATGATCTTGACCTCTTTTAAGCTAAGAATAATCCTAATCTAAACAAATTACAACTATCTAGAAAATTAGAGTAATTACACCATAAGTGTGTAATTTCCACAACAACAAACAATGAAACTAATAAAAAATGCAACTACACATAATAAGAATATAACAATATCAGGTCTTTTTTAAGAACAATTCTTGGTGTACATGCCCCGTATATTTTGTCTATGTCATAGACAACTTTTGCACATTATAGACAAATTGCCTCACAAAATGTACGAAGCAGGTGTATGAAGCGGGTTCAAAACGTGTACAAATGGCGTGTCCAAATGGTATTTTCTTTTTTTAGCACACTAAAAGAATACTAGAAAGAAAAGAAACTGCCTAAAAAAAGCCTTCAGGCTTGCGCCTCTTATCTTGCTAAAAGGGCTTAAGCCTTAAATACATTTTTTGTGCACCTCTAAACACGCCTCCTAAGCACCTTTAAAACCATGATTTAGACTAATCTGTTTTGCTCACATTGCAGTGGCCTGACAAACTCAAATTACAGTGAATTGAAGACGTTGTATGAGCTATACAAGGATAAAGGTTTGATTTTATTCTTTCAAATTTTGTTTCCTGAAGACAGAAACTAGAGCTTGCCATGTTAAGAATATTTCTTTTGTTCACAATCCAAGGGTATGTTTGCTTCTATACAGAAAATTCTAAAAGAAAATGAAGTATGATTAATAATTTAATACTACGTATATGTTAAGATTTCTTTACCTCTATTAAGTAGAAATTGATGTATAAAATGAGTTTGAACAAACATCCAAAATTATTTCTTAAGTTTGGTCAAAAGTTCCCCCCTCACATTTTCCGTCCGAATGTCACTTTTCGTAGCATTGTTTTTTGAATTTCAAAGAGATCCTAAAGAAAAGTGATTTTTCCTGAAAATACTTTCATCTCCTCTCTCAATCAGAGAAAATATTTTATATTATTAAGATTGAGTATATTCAACCTAACAACAGGTTTGGAGATTCTTGCATTCCCTTGCAACCAGTTTCTTGGCCAAGAGCCTGGCACAGATGAAGCAATCTTGGAAATGGCATGTACTCGCTTCAAGGCTGAATTTCCCATTTTCAGAAAGGTCAGTTATTCACATTTAGTTTTAGTTAATTTAGTGAGTCTTGGCGCATTGACTAAGGTGTTGTTGTGTGACCAAGAGGTCACTAGTTCAAGTCTTGGGAGTGCCCTCTTTTTAACGGGAGAAAGCTTGCCCCTTATACACCTTTGTGGTGGAACCCTTCCCTGGACCCTCGTCTTGCAGGAAGCCCTCGTGTAACCGGTTGCCCTTAGCAAGTCATTTCATGATCTCTGTAATCATTCATGGATTGTAAAATTTGGTGTTTTAGGTTGATGTTAATGGTAAAGATGCTGCTCCGCTTTACGAGTTCTTGAAGGCAAGCAAAGGTGGATTTTTGTGCAAAGATATCAAGTGGAATTTCTCTAAATTTCTTGTTGACAAAGAGGGAAAGGTTGTGGATCGCTATGCTCCCACTACATCTCCCTTAAGCATGAAGGTAAAGCAAGGCATGTTCACTAAAACATGTTGGTGGATGAGTTTTAGGACTAATGAATTTAATAATCTCTTTTTCCAGGAGAGAATAAAAAATCTCTGAAGTGAAAAATATATTAAATCTAAGATTCTACAATCTGAGGGACATTTTCGTACCCTTAAATGTAAATTAGGAATTAATTAACTACCTCTTATTAAAGGATTAGATGTCATTAAAGGATTAGAGAAGAACCTCTTTTCAATAGTGTAGGGGTGTAGGTGATAATACATCAAACCTCAAACCTCAAATGAGGTCAATAATATTTTCATTAGGTACGCATATTGTGATCGTATGACATTTCAGTTGGTTTTTATCATTTTTAGCAATGCAGCCTGTTTGATACGATTCATTTGGGCGAAGTGGCCAAATCAGTTGAATTTTGTGAAAAGGAAGAGTGATAAAATCTATTTCAGCAAAATATGAATAAGTAAAAAACTACTTGAACAGTTGAACTTTGAGTCTTTGAGAAAGCGAAAACAACCTACTAAATCAACTATAAGCATCCTATAACCCTCGATCCAAGTATTTAGTGTAAATTTTGCTAATGTACAACAAATCTCTCTTATTTTGTGTTGTTGTAGAAGGACATTGAGAAACTGCTGCTCCAGACATCTTAAACCTATTCTACTCCTCCCAAATGATATGTGCTATTATTGATGTGGTTGATGATGTTGCTGATATTCCGTGCCCTAAATTAAATTATGAAACTCCAAAATGTGGATGTGAATAAATGCGAGCCCGCTTTGTATTCCCTGCCATCAATAATTCAAGTATTGACTCTGCCAATATGAAATTACTATATTTCTGTGTCCATCTAGTTTTTCTATGGGGTTTGGATAACAATGTTCTCCATCATTTGCAATAGAACCAAAGATTCATTATTTTTTGGCTTGAGATTATGATGGAATAAAGCAAAATGCTCACTAAACTGTCTGCGCTTCTTTGTTATGAAGCAGTAGTCGGTTCATGCAATTTTGGACGTGCTTTTCACTATGGGTCATCCAGAAACAGTCTCTTTGTGGCTCTATGCTTTAGTACAGAGGTAAGACTGCGTACATCCGACTCCCCTTACCCCACCGTAGGTGGGAGCCTTTGCGGCACTGGGGTAAATGAAAATGAAATGAAATGATTTGGATAACAATGTTACAAAATGAAAACTCGTGAATAAAAATAAGATGAATTTTAATAGTTTTCAAAAAAAAATTGTGACGTGGAGGAACCTAACACCGTCTAGGGGTTGCGCGAAGATTTGTCTGTCGCCAACGAAAAATTGAATAACCTTGATCACATTTTCAAGATAAGACTTCTGGGATGAGTATCGTAAGATGGAATTGTCAGGGTTTAGGGAACTTAGAACTTGGCAATAGTCCAAGAAGTGTTGGAGACTTGGAGGATATGTTTCAGGAGAGAAAGCGTGTGGTGGTTTTTCTAATGGAGACAAACGCGTAGAGTGATAGATGTGACTTGTGAGGCTGTCTGAAATAAGGTGGGGCTCTGGTATCGTTTTGTACTTGAATGCCAGGGACAGAGCAGTGGACCGAGTCTCATGTGGTGAGAGGATGTGGTTTTGCAGGTTAGATCGTGGGCAGCAAACTATGTGGACTGATAAAACTCGAAGGTAACCCAGAATGGTGCTTTACTAGCTACTACGGCTCTCAGGAAAGGAGCAGATGGCGGGGTTCTTGGAATTTGCCCATGACAAGTTGACAAATTGTGGGTGATGATGGGGGGTTTCAATGACATTATGTTTGACAATGATCGAAAGGGTCAATTACTGCAACCAAATTGGCTCTTGATAGGTTTTAGGGAAGCTGTCTCAGAAAGTGGCCTACGGAACGTGGAGTTTAAACTTTAAAGGTTATTAGTGGACCTAGTAGTGCGGGAGAGGATCAACGTGGTGGATTGAGAAAAGGTGGATCGAATACATGCAAATGAGTCTATGAGGAAGAAGCATTTTAAATTTGAACATTTTTGGCTCAAGGATGAGGAATGTCGGGAAGTGGTCTAACGAAGCTGGTAAGGGAGACAAGATGGATCAACATGGTGGATTGAGAAAAGATGGACTGAAGACTATCAAATGAAGGATGGCTTGATATGTTCACCAATATTTTTGCTATCTCATCGAAGGGACTATCGAGCGACCACTTGATTCTTCTTGTTAAATTAAACAACACAACTAGCTCTAGGAGGAAGAAGATTTGAAATTTGAAAATATATGGCTCAAAGATGAGGAATGTTGTGAAGTGATCCGAAGAAGCTGGCAACGAAAACTAGATGGTATTGGCAAAGTTACTTGAGTGTGGTCGAGAGATTGAACTATGGAGCAGGCAACGGAAAATCGGTTTTCAGGCTTGAATTGACTTTTACATAAGAATGCTAGCATACTTAAGAAGGCGATGTCAAGGGAATGATGTGGAATTTCAACATGTTAAGTCTTGTTTGGTGAACTTTTGCATCAACATAACATATATTTGAAGACAGAGCTAAGGAGTTTTGGCTTAAAAAGAGGCGGAGGAGAAACAAAATGATCAATCTCTCAGCAGGCGATAGAGAATAGATCACAGATAGAGACCAGTTGGAACTATGGTGACTGATTATTTTGCGGAGTTGTTTACATCAGAAGGCGGTAGAAGGAACATTTCTTATTTGCATGGCCTAGCTACTATATCATCTTTCGAGAATGAATGTCTGTTAAGGCCAATCAACTCAAGTGAGGTCAAAAGAGCGGTGTTCGTTATGCACACCATAAAAGGCTCCTAGACCAAATGGCTTAAGTCCTTGTTTTTTTCAACATTCTTGGGCGGACGGACGGCTTCCAAAGGAGGCAAACCTTACTAACATTGTACTTATTCCCATGAAAGAGAAATCATAAGGGATGAGGGATTGATACACTATAGCCTTGTGTACGGTTATTAATAAGTTTTATACAAAACTTTTCACAAATCATTTGAAGTTTATTTTGGACCGGCTAGGTTCTATTAATCAAAGTGCTTTTGTTCCTAGAAGATCGTTAGCAGGTAATATTATAATTGCTTTCGAAAGCCATCATTATCTTAAAAGAAAGACGTGAGGCAAAGAGGGGTTTGTTACACGTAAATTAGATATGAGTAAGGTTTATGAATTTTCTATTTGTGGTGGTTCGGGCCATGAATTTTGCACCGAAGTGGATCCAACTATTACAAGAGTGTGTGTCTTCACCTGAGTACGTTGCCCCTTTTGATAATAATGATTTAAGCCCATTATTCTGAAGCGTGGTTTACACCCTTGTTAGTTAAATACGGTACGTGAATTAAACAAGGTTTAATACGTACGCGTTTTATACAGTAACATGAATAAAAAACGGTCAAAATTCGTTGAAAAAAACTTTGACTTTTATAAAACGTGTAAATACGTATACGTGTATTATACGTTATCGGTTACAAAAATTCAGATAAAAAATACGGGGAATTATTTTGAACATTTAAATTATATACTTCACACAAAATAACATGGAGTATATGGTAAAAAGGAATAAAAGTATACACATATTCAAGTAACAAATCCCATTACTACATACTCCCTCTGTCCCACTAACTTTGTCATTTTTCCTTTTAAGTAAAGAATTTGTGGTTCCAGTTAATTCTATCTCCTTTGCACAAACCTCAACCACACAGTTTTTCCTTTATTAATCCCCGTGTCGGTCAAACTTGACAAAGATTTAAGGGATGGAGGGAGTATAAAATACGGAGTAATTCGTAATTCTACCAGAGAGCCTCAAGGACAAGGAAGCGGCGATCAACCACAACTGGTGCAATTAAGTTCAAGACATAATTTTGCAAAATGATGTCATAATAACAATAGAATGAGACCAAGTTAAAATCTTTATCTTTCTATTATCATCAAATAACAATCAAGTTAAACTTGTCATTTTCATCAAGATGCCGAGTGACATACGAGAAAAGTTGTGCGATTGCTACGCTTATTATTGTTTATGTGTAAAAGTTTATACTAAAAAATGTCAGGTTTAGAAAAATCTTAATTTTGAAATGCGTTCGAGAAAACACGAGATATCTAGTAGGATTTTATGTTTTAGTCCTTTAGGATGATAGCTTTAGTTGTCATGCAATTAATTTTAGTATTTAACGCATTCGTTCAATTGGTCAATTCATGTTTCTGTTTTTTGTAAAATACAGGAAAAATACGGTTTATACGGGAAGTATGAGTTTTTTTTCCTTTTTAAACCGGCCGACATTATTTTTCATTTTAAGCGTGATTTTGAGTAAAAAAAACGGTACATATTTAAAACACGTTTAAAACGGAAAAAAGCTAACTGGGGTTTACACTAGGGGATCCCCTACCTCCGAATTTGTTAATTTTAGTGGTACGCTTAGCTTACTCGTCACAAAGCAAAAAAAAAATGTCACTCTTCTTACACGCTCCTACACACGATAAAAAGGCTTAGTTTTTTTTACCTTTTTTTCTGTTACGGTTTACCCTCTCTCCCTCTTCTCCCTATCTTGTCTTCTTTCATTTACGATATCTCCCCCTCTTCTCCATTCCTTCTTTTTAATTTCCACTATATATCTCCTCATTCTTCTTCCTTTGTTTCTTCTTTCACCAACCAACACAAAGGGTCGGCCCTTTCGGCCAACAACGCCCGTTCATTTTCCCTTGTAGCCCCGTAATCACTCTCCTCAAGTTCGAGACCAACCAGCGGCATGGTTGTAGCGAGAATCGATGCACACGACGAGGGTGAGATACTGAGATGGTCGATTTGTGCTGCTCGAACAATAGCCACGGCTAAACTGGAGAGGATTTGGCAGGAGATATGTGCTGGTTCTTTCAAGCAGTCGCTCTCAAGTATGGGAGATATGCGCGGGCTCTTTCTCAGCGATTGGAACCTTGTCCGGACGGACCTGTAACAGAGACCGGGTGGCAGTAAAAATTCAATCTTTGTTGGTCTTGTCCGTGAATTTAACAGAAACAGCTGGATTTTTCAGGTTGTTTGATGTGGAGAAGAACGAAGGTGAAAGAGGGGTACACGATTTAGAGAAAGAAAGGTAAGGGACGGAAGGGGCGTAGGAGGAGAGAGAAAAAGGGTAAAATTAATTGAGAAATGATAAATGTAAAAATAGTATTTATAGTGTGTATTAGTGTGTAAAATGAGTGTGCACCTAAAGCATTTTTGAAAAAAAAAAGAAGAGAAATGGTCATAAGTAGGACTTAAAATGTCTGTATATACTTAAATAGGAGTCCGTCTTTTTTAACTCGTAAATAGGACTTCTTTTTTATTTTGTTCCAAAACTGCCCCTATTTCGTAACGTTTCTTTTGCTCCACGAGAATCTTATCTCTCGCCCACAATCTCGCCAAACACTCTCTCGCTCCTTCCTCCATAGCCATGGCAGGCTAGCAGCTTCAAGGAGTTGTCAACGTGGCGCCGGTGCCGGTGCCTCAACAGAGAAAACACAGCGGCACGAGGAGTGTGGTGGGATGCCCTGGTGCGTTCTCATCTTCTCCCATCTTCTTCTTCTTTTCTTCTTCTATTTCTCTTCTTCTTCCCATTCTTCTACTTTTTCTCTTCTTCTTCTCTTGGATAGATCTGGTAATTTTCTCTCCTGGGTAGATCTGGGAATGTGGCCGCTCCTTTCCCTACGTGATGTGTTTTTTTTTGGAATTGAACTTGTTGATTTTTTGTTGTTTTTAATTTACCTCTGGTTCAATTCCTTTATATTTTCTTGTTTTGTTGAAGGTATTCTACTTCTTTATCTAATTACTTTTTTTGAGTTCTAACTTTTTTATATATTTTTATTTTTCTATGAAATATTTTTTAGATAATATTTGATTCAAATGTTATTGTTAATGTAACACTTTGATGTGTTGTCACATAATTTTACAATGATATCAACATTGTCACACAATTTATAATGGCTATGTTGATAAATGATTTT